AGGAAGGAAGGAAGGAAAAAGAAGAATGGGCAAGCCGGCTAAGCACCCCTGGATAGAATTTCCATTACTGCCAAAAAGATAGCAAAAATTTTACACCTATTTTCATAAATAACTGAACAACAATTGTCATTTCTTGTGCTGTTTGTGATAAAAGAACAGTATAATCTCCAAATATTTATCGAGCACCTAATATTTGAAAGTACTGCATGTGGTACTAAAACAATTCAGTCCAATTACACCAGTCTTTACTCTCACGGAGCTTCACAATTTAGGGAGGCAGACAAGAAAAAATTGGTTGCAGAGTGAATCAGATATCACCAACGAAGCAAATACTAAGATGCAGTCTATTACTTCTTGGACAGGGAGGGCTGAGAAACTTCCTTCTGAAGTTGAGGTACCTTAAGTTAGCTCTTTATTAGTTTTCTGTGGCAGCAAAATAAATAACTACAGCAGCTTAAAATAGTTTTAAGGATTTTATAGATTTAACTATCAATTTGAATGCCTGGCTATAAATAACAGAAAAACCAACCCAGCAGGGTTCCGTCAGTGGTTCTCAGGTATGATCATGGACTCGCATTCCCGTGGGGCTTGTGGGACCCAGGCTCCCCACTCCCACCTCTAAGACTTTGGCATTCAGTGGTTTTCAGGTCTGGCCCTGGAATTTGCATTTATTTGCAGCAACTTTTATTCATATTTTTCTAACTGACAGATAAATTATAATTATTTATTATTACATGCAATATTTTGAAGTATAACTACATTGTCAAATGACTAAATCTAACTAATCGACAAACATATTTTGTCATAAAGTCATCATTTTGTGATGAGAACTGAGGATGTGATTATACAGGGAAAGAACAAGGGAAGTTTGGTGGCGATGAAACTATCCTATATCCTGATTGTGGTGATTATACAAATCAGTACCTGTGCTAAAATTCTTTTTTTTTTTTTTTTATCGGTACCGGGGATTGAACTCACGACCGCCTGCTTGCAAGGCAGGTGCTTATGCCACTGAGCTAAATCCCCAGCCCCCCTGTGCTAAAATTCTTAGAACTGTACACTAAAAAACATTTTAGCACCAGGCATTGTGGTGCATGGCAGTAATTCCAGCACTGGGGAGGCTGAGACAGCAGGATCACTGGGAGTTCAAGGCCAGCCTGGGCTACACCATGAATTCAAGGCCACCCTGAACTACAGCATGAAACCCTGCCTCCAAACACAAATCTATTTTAATGTACGATAATTTATAAACTTTTTGTATGTGCAATACTAGGAATTGAACCTAGAGCCTTTACACTGAGATACATCTCCATGCCCAGCCCTTTTTTAGGGATAGGCTCTCCATAAATCACTAAGTTGTCTCCGCTGAGTTCAAACTTGCAATTCTGTTTAACCTCCAGAGTGCTGGGATTATAGGTCAGTGCAAACATACACAACTCCAAATAAAAATTTCTTATTTTTTGAGATAACCAGAGCTTTGAATAGTGAGTATATATTTATTGAAATTAAGTAATTATTGTTAATAACTTTTATGAGTGATAGCTTTTGTCTGTTTGCTTGTTTGTTTTGTGATGCTGAGTATCAAATCCAGGGTCTAAGCAAGTGCACTACCACTGAACTGCACTCTCAGTCTTATTTTTCAGTACTTGTCTTTTAAAGATATACACTAAAATATCTACAGAGAAAATTAAAAGAAATATGTGATTTCCTTAAAAAGAATGTTGGAGGAGGGACGTGGTTTGGGGACAAAATGAAACAAGCCTTGTGTTGTGGTTTAGATCTAAAATGTCCTCAAAGTCTTAGGTGTGAGGAAGGTGATTGGATGATAGCGTTACTATACTCATTGGTTAGTTCAGTAGCTGAATGCGCTGTGAGGTTGTGGGGCCTGGTTGGAGGTGGGTCTGTGTGTATGTGACCTGAGAGGATGGATTCCTGTCTGCAGATCCTCCCTTCTCTCTGCTTCCTGGCTAACATTGACACAGCAGCTTTTCTGTCAGGCAACGTAGTTTCTGCCTTGTACACAGCCAGCCATAGACTGAAACCACTAAAACTATGAGCCAAAATAAACCTCTTTTTCCTTAAATTGTAGGTGTTGAATATTTTGTCCCAGTGATAGGAAAATGATTTTTGCACATGTATGAATTAATAATTTTTAGCCCAGCAAGGTGGTACACACCTGTAATCCCCACATTTTAGGAGGCTGAGGTAGGAAAATCAAAAGTTTAATCCCAGACTGGGCAATCTAGCAATTTAGCAGGACCCTGGATCAAAATTTTAAAACAAAATTTACAAAAAGGCTGAGGATGTAGCTCAGTGTAAAGGCTTTCGGTTCAATCCTCAATACCATAAAAAATCATAATAATTATCATTATTGCAGATGGGTTCATTAGGTTTCAAACACTATTCTACTTTTGTGTGTTTAATGGATTCTTTACTAGAAATACTTTTTAAGGGAATGTGGGATCACAAGCCTCCAATATCATGCTGCTTGGTGTGCCACCTGATTTTGCCACTTAGTTAACCTTGGGCAAGTTACATTGACTTATCCTTAGTTTCTCCCTCTGTAAAATAAGGACATTAAAAATCTATCTTATGCACGTCTGTCAGGAGGAAATGGATGTTGTCAGAATATGTGAAAAGTTACCTAGTTTTTGGTACATAGTGAACAAATGTCAGCTTCCTACATCTCCTGGTCTGATTCATCCATGCCATTTCCTATCTAAACGGAGGCCTCCTGCTAAGTGTTTTCCTGGATATCCTATGATATTTCAAAAGGACTAGTGAATTCTATTCAGAGTAATAAAATATGGTCAGGTGTGGTGGCACACCCCTATTAACCCAGCACTCAGGTGGCTGAGGCAAAAAGATCACTCCAAGTTTGAGGCCAACCTGAACTACACATCGAGTTCAAGGCCAGCCTGGACTATATAGTGAGTGAGACCCAGGCAGAGTTATAATACCCAATTTTTTATATTCTACTTCCTTTCTGGGCTTCATTATGGCTTTAAGTACTGTGGATTAAATGCAAAGCCTTATGCAACAGGCAAGTGCTCTCCCACTGCTATGTCCCCAACTCACCCAATCTCTATTTTATTTGGAAACAGGGCCACACTACATTGCCTCGAACTTGGAGTCCTCCTGCCTCAACTTTCCAAATAACTTCTTCAGGAAGAAAATCTAAGCTTGAAAGAATGGATTTGATAAAAATCTAGAAATGCCCCTTTTCCTCCAAATAAGGATTAAATGAAAGATTAATGGAGAGTAGAATCCATCTTCTGAGCTAAGGTCATCTGTTCAAGTTTTTTTGTTGTTGTTGCTGTTGTCGTTGTTGTTTGAAGTAGGGTCTCACTATGTAGTTCAGCCTGGCCTTGAACTCACTATGTAGCCCTTCCTGGCCTTGAATTCGCAGCCTACTGAGTGCTGGGGTTACAGGAATGTGTGTCACCAGGCCCACTTGTTCCAATCTTTTACTCAAGGTAGCAGTGCCTCTCCAGCAACCCTATAGTCTCTCTCTTCTGAACAAAGGGTTCACCACAGTTGCTGAGACCAGACAGTTAAAGCTTCCAGTCTGGCACTTCCTGTCCTATGGTTTCTGGTGATGTACTCCCACTAGTTATAGTCTGCCCCTTTGAGGTGCAGTTGTGCTTTTCTTTGAACCATACTTCCTCTCTTGCCATAGCCCAGTCAATCAAGGGAGAAGGAAATGGAAGTAGTCGGTGGCAGGGATCTGCAGTGTGGCTTACTTTAGCCACAGGAGTAGTGGGAACACCCTAGTCCATAATGCCTCCCCAAACAGAAAAGAGGACTCCTCTCCTTCCCCTTTTCAGCAATCCCTACACAAATGGGCACTTCCCCACACCCTAATCCTAACTCTGACTTCCCTCAAGACACTGTAGGCTGCTTCAAAAATTCACAAGGAGATTGCAGCTGGGTCTGAGTGACATTTTCAGCTAATCCAGAAGAAAAAGAAAACAAGGCATCTTTTGGACTATTCACAGAGTTCACCAATTACAGCTGAAAACAGGGCCCCAACATCTCTGCTGCCCTGGTGATATTAGTTTAGATGTTGACAATGACATCTATGGAAATCTCATCCATCACTGTACAACAAAGCAAGAGTTATTCTGGTTGGGTAACTCACATGGGAAAAAATGGTCATCTTAGCAAATGTGTACCCCCAGGGGCTCCTGGTGTCTATTTCTGACTGCTATTCCATGCTTCTGCTGCCAACAATGCTCAGTCCTAAATCCCAAAGTGAGCTCCTGCTGTCTTCTTAGTTGGTAAGCAACTGCCATCTGTAGAATATTTTTGCTCTATGACAGGCACTACACTAAGCCCGTTAGCATAATATCTCTTTGAAGCCTCCTAATACCCCTGTGAACAAAACTCTACCCATCTGTAGATGATAACTCACATTCTTCTACAGATGAAGAAATTTGAGAAGTTGATCAAGTCGTTTAAGGTCCAGAGCCAGTAGTGTTGGAGGCACTAATCTTATGCGGCACAGTTTGCCTCCAAAGCCTAGGTCTTTTTTTCTAAGGCGGGAGAGCTCAGGCCATAAAGCTGGACTTGAATCTAAAAGAAGTGCCAGTCTAAAACACATGTCCAGGCACTGGGAACAAAATCAGTCTTTTGGTCCATTAAGACCAGGAAATGAAGTCGCCCCGCCACTGCTCCTTCCTGAAAGAGTCCCTGCAGGGCTGTTCAATTGTCATGCTGCAATTCATCGTTTTGGAAAAATTAGTTACTACACAATGACTAAATTTCCTGTCTCTGGCTGAGCGTTACACTCTGCATGTAAGAGTTACAATGAGCTCTCCAATTAGCAGATTTAGAAAGGTTCTGTGCTAGAACGGCGTTCCGGTCCAGCAAGAGAAGGATCAAAGTGACAGGAACCACAAAATTGGAAAGCGGCTGGAGCTGCGGTCTTACAAGGTCTCAGAAAAGCCTAAGAGTTCTTGGGCGCGCAGCCCGCCCAGCCCGGAGCGAAGGGGCGGGGCATAGAACCCGGTAGGCCACGCCCACACCCACCGGCGCGCCTTGCCTCGGGATGGCCACGCCCCTTAGCCCGCCCCGCGGCGCATTGTGGGATCTGTCTCGCCGCAGGGTGTAGGACTACGCGCTTGGTCATGGGGATGCAGCCGGTGAGCCCCTGTCCCGTATTCTGCACCCGGGGACCTCGGCACATCTAGTTCTGGGCACTCGGATCCCAACCAGGGGCTCCCACCACCGATCCCAACCCGGAGGCTCTGGTCCCGCCCTGGATGCTGAGTCCCAGTACTGCACCTCCGGGCTGGAACCCTGCCCCGCTTTACTCTCCTGGAGCTCTGGGTCTGGGGCTCCGGGTCTCCACCCCTGGGGCAGCCGCTCGTAGAGGGCGGTGACCACCCCCGTCCTGGGCTTTCCCCCAGAACGGAGATCACGCTGCCTCCTCTATCCACAGAGCCTAAGCCTTCTGGCCTCGCTGGGGGTGGGGGTGCTTACTCTGCTTGGCGTGGCTGTGGGCACTTACTTGGTGCGAAGGTCCCGCCGGCCGCTGGTCACTCTTCTGGACCCCAATGAGAAGTACCTGCTGCGACTCCTGGATAAGACGGTAAATTTAGAGGAAGGGGCCCGAGAGTGGTGGGAGGGTGGGAAGAGTCTTGGTAGGAAAGGCAGAGTTTCCACGGTGGTTGGGTTGCCCTGGGGGACTTGGCAGCACCCAAGCCGTGCTGTGAAACCCTTGTGTTATCCATCCTGCAGACTGTGAGCCACAACACCAAGAGGTTCCGCTTTGCCCTCCCCACCGCCCACCACATTCTGGGGCTGCCTGTGGGTAAGGAAAGTGTGGAGTGGGCTCCTTTTCCTGGTATCCTAGGAAGCCGAGTCTCCTGGGATCTGTGACACAGGCTGCTTCAGTTTTTCCTCCATACACGCTTCCTCCTCCTCACTTAGCTGTGAATCCTGGAAGCTGTGAGATTCCACTGGGTCCCATTAGGGTGTGGCTTCTGTGCCCCCAGCAGTCTGTAACACTCAGCCACCCTCTCCCTCTCCTGCAGGACTTGCTCATAACCTCCACAGCCCTCCTCCCAGGACACACTAAGTTTTTCCCATTGCTCAAACCCTAAGCTTACCTGTTGTTTCCATGGTCCTGGCACTAATGTTAGGACTTTCTCCAATGTAGGGTGGTAAGAGACTACTGAGGTTAGGGGTGAATCAGCTCTGCCTAGAAGTTCGTTAGGACCACAGCAGGAAGCAAGACATCCTACCCTTGTGGGGTGCAATGTGCAGGCCTGTAATTCCATTAAACCTCTCAGTGTTTTGAATGGTGACAGGAATGCAGACCGACCTCAAAGAGCACTTATGGTAGCTCTCCCCATGGTCCCCAGGTAAACATGTCTACCTCTCTGCCCGAATTGATGGCAGCTTGGTCATCAGGCCATACACTCCTGTCACCAGTGATGAGGACCGAGGCTACGTGGATCTTGTCATCAAGGTAAGAGTGGAGGAAAGACCCCCAGTGATCTCCTTAACCCACTTTTTCTGGAATTTATAGAAAATTCCCAGAATTTTTTGGATAGTAGGGGAAGGCATTTCCTTTGTGAGTATAGTGAAAGTATATGGACTGGGAAAAGATAGCATGCTCAAGATCCCTGCCTACCCTGCCTTGGGCACATCCCAAATAAGGCATTTTCTTCCTCTCTGCTTTATCAGGTCTACCTGAAGGGTGTACACCCCAAGTTTCCTGAGGGAGGGAAGATGTCTCAATACCTGGATAGCCTGAAGATTGGAGACGTGGTGGAGTTTCGGGGGCCAAGCGGGCTGCTTACTTACACTGGGAAAGGTAATGACCTGTGTGCTTTAGCCTATCAACCCCTCCTCCAGTTCTTATAGTCTAATTGGTACTGTGTGTGCGTGTGTGTGTGTGTGTGTGTGAGCTGCAACTCCCTTTCCTTCTCAACATAGCACTGAGACTACAGAAAGGCATATTTCTCAGCCATTTAGATGGAAAGCTTCATTTAGACTTCCGCTTCATTTCACCAGCCATGATAGACAGCTGTGGAGATTACTCAGGCAAACTCATGAAACTGGTCCCTTCCCTCAGACACTCTTCCCTCAGGCTGAGCTGTGAAAAGATCCGGGAGAGAGAACTTTCAGCTCTTCCCAGGGGAACAGTGGGGTGCTTTAGCCAGCCTTCAGAGCTACTCAGTCCCTCTAGGGAAGCTAGAGTCATACCTGGCCCCATGCCTGTCACCCTCACCAGGGAGTGAGCCTCTGCCAGAAGCAGCTGATACTCATCATGTAGCCCTGAAGTGATTGTGGACTGACGGGTTTGGCCCCATTGCCCTTCAGTGTATTATTGTCAAACCTCCACTCCAGTTCCAGGATCAGATTTCATAGCAACTGCTCAACTGGCCTCAGGCATATTTTCAGTTCTCCATTTGTTCACTTTGTTTTCTATTTTCACTTTGTTCTTTTATCTCTCTATTTTCTTGATCTCAGGGAATTTTAACATTCAGCCCAACAAGAAATCTCCACCAGAGCCCAGAGTGGCAAAGAAACTGGGAATGATTGCTGGAGGGACAGGTGTGTATTGCTCAAAGGTTCCTTCTCTTCCACTGTTGTTATCACACATAACCATAACTGATCTCCAAACATTTGATAATCATTGTTGGGCAGTTAATGAAGGGTCCCTAGCAAAGGCTAGACCTCATCAGTTACTGAAAAATCAAACCAAGCAAGTAGAACTCACCTCCCAAAATTTTATATATTTACCTTCCCTCTTTATTATTATTTATCTATTTATTTATTTTGGTACCTAGGATCAAACTCATGACTTCACATTTGCCAGGCAGGTACTTATGCTGCTAAGCTAAATCTCTGGCCTTTTTTATTATTTTTAATCAGATTTCTTGGTACATTTTAGGCGCACATAATGATCACATTCATCATAAGAATTTGTACAAATTCATGATATAATAATTCTTTTTTTCCCATTCCCCTACCTTCCCTTCAACTACTCCAAAAATTTTTAAGGAGTAAAATGAGAGCAATAAATCAGGCAGCCATTCTGCAAATTGAATGATCTTGTAACTTTTAATTGAGAGTAGAAAGAAACTGCTAAGAATGACAAGTCAAAAAGAAGCATTAGACATGACTATGCATTAGACACTAATATTAGACACTGTGTATAGTTTTCATTTACTACTATGGATTAGACACATATATCTATAGATGCATGTATATATAATCTATGAAGTATTAGTCTTTCCCATGTATAGATGAGAAAATGGAGATTGAGAGAGGTTAAGTGGTTTCCACAGGGTTACTAGATAGAGACCAGAGATAGGATTAGTATGTGGCTCTGCTGGATTCCAAAGATGCTCTTAGCCTCTACAAGTCCAGTCAGTGTTCCAGAACCCTCATCCACAGAGTCAGAAAGCACATGGACTCATCTGTGACATTTGAGTCCCTAGCCTCTGGGAGACTTTGAGAGGAGAAGCTGTAGAAGAATTTCCACAATATGAACTTGTGAATATTGAGGGGATCCAGAAATGTAGATGCTGGAAAACATGCAGGAGGAAGTCAGAGGAAGAGGGTACAGAAGGAAAATGGAGTGGATTGTAGATAAGTAGAACAAAGGTGAAAGGGTTGGTGGGCTGAGGAGCTGGGGCAGAGCAGAGAGTGTGGCCACAACCTCTTACTGTCGGGTATCCTCATGCAGGAATAACCCCCATGCTACAGCTGATCCGGGCCATCCTGAAAGTCCCTGAAGATCCAACCCAGTGTTTTCTGCTTTTTGCTAACCAGGTTGGTTTGCTTTTCTCACTAGTGGCACTGCAAAGTGGCTGCGTGGGTAGAACCAAGAACTGTGGAACCCAAAGGCAGAACAGGCCCAGTGCCTCTCTGGCCTCTGCCCCAGGTTCCTCTGTGCGGTACAGAGCTCACTGCTACAGTAAGAAGGAAAAAGAACTGAGCAATGGGCCAGATTCCTTCTCTGCTCCCCAAGGAAAGAAGAAAAGAGTTAAGGGATCTAGTGCTAAACACAGAAACTTGGGGTCTTCCTTATTAGCTATTTCATTCCTTCATGTGTAAATAAAGGCTGTTTCCCTTATCCTAATCCCCTAAAAGCAATGCAGTACTTGCTCATCCCCTAGAACTTGTAGTATACCTGTAGCATTGTTTTCCTCTCCAAGTTGGAAAGTTGTCATAGCGAAGAGCTTTTTTTGCCTGAGAATATTTCTAAGACTTTGCTTCTCCTTTGCATTTCAGACTGAAAACGACATAATCCTGCGGGAGGACCTGGAAGAACTACAGGCCCGATATCCCAATCGCTTTAAGCTCTGGTTTACTCTGGACCATCCCCCAGCAGGTACCCTTCCCATTTCCAGGCCTCCCAAGAGCCTGTCTTGTCCCTTTACAAGTTCTAGTTCCTGCAAAACCAACCCACCCTGACACTACCAAAGTCCGAAGTCTTAGTGCACAGACACAGTGGTCTCCTGGTCCCTTTCCTTTAGGTCCCTGTTTATGAGATGGAGAGCAGGGATGGCTGTTCCCCTGAGACATTTGGGGTTCTTCCTGGTAGCCCATCCTCATGGTGTCACATTCCTTTGCCAGCTTGGTTCTGGAGGTCAGTTCTCTCCTTTCCTCTGTACTCAGGTTGGGCCTACAGCAAGGGCTTTGTGACTGCTGACATGATCCGAGAGCACCTACCTGCCCCCGGGGATGATGTGCTGCTGCTGCTCTGTGGGCCACCTCCGATGGTCCAGCTGGCCTGCCATCCCAACCTGGACAAACTGGGCTACTCGCAAAAGATGCGATTTACCTACTGAGCATCTCCTAGCTTCCCTGGACGCATATCTCAACTCTCCTCCATCAGCGCTCAAATATTATGAGCTGTAGAGTCCTTTCCCGAAATTGTCCATTTTGCAAGTTACTCTGAAGCTAAAATGCGGCTAGCACTCTGGAGCTGCAAAAGAGGGCCAAGGCCAAGGTATTCCCTAGAAGGCCCCCACATCTCCCTGTGTTGAGCAGCCCCAGTGAAGCCCATGGAGAAGCATCTCTCTTGGGGTCAGAAAGAAGGGAGCATGCACATGTGTTCCAAGCCTGGCTCATTTCTTGACAGTATTATACTTGGCCTCCTTTATGTCTGTGTTGAAAGGAGTACAAAGAGTTTTACTTAATATTCAGTATTTAACCCTTGGACAAATTCTGTTTATGTGAGTGCAAGTTGAGTGACCTACAGAGATAGTTTTATAGAGATAGTAACAACGGATGAAATAGTTTCTTCAGAACGCCGGGCCTCAAAGAAAAGAGTCTGAGATATATGTTTGTGCATCTGTCTCTCTTGACTGCTGCCCAAACTAAAGGGAAAAGGCTACCCACAACCTAAGACTGCTGCTCATACAAGGAACCTCTGGCTATTCAAATAAATGGGGCTGAGGCCCAGTGTGATACTTAAGGGGCTGTTGTGCTTGAGGACCTGTTGTCCAAGTGCGAAGGACTTTGGTAGGAAAGGATTTCCAGCACAGAGTCTCTTGGTCTTCCCAAGAGTCTCAGGGACACTGTGCCATGTCCTGAAATGTGAGCTGCCACCAGAGTTAGTCACTGCCCAGCAGCTATTTCCAGAGCCAGAGCTCAACCCCACCCTGCAGGTCTGGATGGGGGAGAGGGAGAAACAAACTTTAGAGGGGAGCTCAACCCTCCTAGGGGGTCCCTTGATTTGGCCCCTCCCTTTCTTCCTTCTCTGGCTTTTCTTTCACTGTATCTGTCCTACAGGGTACCTGGTGAACAAATCAAAGTATTGCCTTTCTATTTGGAAGGGAAGTTTCCTCATTTAAAAGCAGCATGATATCACCAACTGCCTGTCACATTTATTGGTGCTTGAAGAGTTGGCCTCCCTCAGGCCCCTGGTCCTTTCTGTCCAGATAGCTTGACCCAGTCCACTCCATTTTCCCTGTGGGGGGACTACCGTGGCTTTTTCAGATTCTTCTCTATTAGTCTCATTCAAACAAAGCAATGCTGTGGGTGCAGGAGGAAGTTCAGCATTGCTTTTTTTGCTGTGGATCTGTGTGTTTCTGTTTTTGTCTTTTTTATTTTTGAGGCAGGGTCTCTCTGTGCAGTTCAGGCTGAACTTGAGCTCACTATCTAGCCCAGGCTGGCCTTGCATTTGTGGCAATCCTTTCTTCCTCAGCCTCCTGGGTGCTGGGATTCCAGACATGTGCCACTATGCCTGGCCTTTTTTTTTTTTTTTTTTTTTTTTGTCTTTTAGAGGTAGGATTTCATAACACAATTCAAGCTGCCCTTAAACTCACTTTGTAGTCCAGGGTGGCCTCAAATTTGTGGCAGTCCTCATGCCTCAGCCTCTTGAGTGCTGGGATTACAGGCATGTGATACCACACCCAGCATATGAACATTTCAAGAGAGCCTGTCAAGTGCCTAGCAAAACCCCCAAAGAATTTACAGTATAAGATAAGTGAGTAAGGGCTGAGGATAGAGCTCAGTGGCACAGTGCCTGCCAAGCAAGTGCAAGGTTGTGAGTTCGATTCTTGGTACAAAAAAGAAGAACATCAGTGAGTAACAAATTACAACTCAGTGTGATAATACTATAGCTCAAAAGAAAGGTACAGAGGGGGGCTGCGGTTTTAGCTCAGCAGCATAAGCGCCTGCCTTACAAGCAGGCAGTCATGGGTTCGATCTCAGGTACTGATAAAAAAAGAAAAACACACAAAAAAAATTTTTTTTAAAAATAAAAAAGGTACAGAGAAGAGAGAGCTGAGAAAGCTTCAGAAAAAGGAAAAAGTGAACGACTTTGAATTAACAGCCATGCATAGTTGTGCACCAGGAACTGTGCAGAAACTCCATGTTGTATAATTTAACTCTTATGCTAATCTGGGAGTTGAAGATAAAGATTTGCCAAAGAAAATGCAGCTGGTCAGCACCTGGTAGATGACTCTGCCTGAGGTCAAAGCCAAATTTAGAACAAGGCCTTGTAAATGATTTGGATCTCAAGCAGGCAGTGGGAGCAAAGTGATCTGCACAAGCCGGAAGGAATGAAAGAAGTTCCAGTTTGGGTCAGTGTGCCAGAGGGAAATGGGAAAAGGTAGGTTCTGAAATCAGAGCAAGTTTGTAGAGGCTACACTGAAGAAATCCTGGGGTGTGTAGGGAGTTTCTGGGGTTTTACCCAGCAGGAAGTGCAATCATAGCTAACACAAATGAGGCACTGACCATATGTAAGGAATCATACTAGGAGCCTTTCCACCCTGATAAAGACCCAATAAAAGAGCACCAGCTCCTTCTTCCCCCCACCCCTCATTTTCAAATGGGTTAATTATCATTCAGTTATGTGTTTAAAATCACACGGGTGACTCCAAATTCCAGGTCTTTACCCAGCATCAGTGGAGCTGACTGCACTACTGTTTTTGTTTTTGCTCTGTACTGGGGGCTGAGGTGAGGCCTTCATTTCGAGCTACATCTCCAGGTCTTAAAGAGACATAGTTTCACAAAGTCCCTAAGTCCCTCTCAGTGTGCTGTGATTGTTGTACTTCCCCAAAAAGGGCCCTGAGATGAAGAATGGGGCAAGATGACCTTGTTTATGCAGATGGAATTTGCAAAGCTGTGCGACTGAGGTAGAATTTTGACTGATTTTTACAGTTCATTTATGATTAGCTCATTGATCATTAAGTACATAGGGATGAGAAACAGAAACAAGGTGGGCCTTTGTTCCCCTTTACTTGGAGGTCAGAGGCATTTCACAGTGGGTGGTCCGCCAATTCCAGGAACATTTGTCTTTCATAAAGGAACAATGGTTGACACAGCATCATTTGTCTCTTACAAGGGGAACAAAGGTTGACACAGCAAACAGGTTACTGGGGTGGGGGGAACAGCATGATGACACCTCAGTAATTTATAATTAATTTATAACAATGTGGTCAGTGCTCCAGGTACATGGTTACTAGAGTGATAAGCATAGAGCCTAACAGTGATTACAGGTGTGAACCATAACACCCATCTAACTAATACTAAATTCCTTTCTCCATATCTAGGATTGCAAAACATCCTTGGGAGAATAAGGAAATAGTCCCTTACTTGTAATCCCAGCACTTTGGAGGCTAAGGCTGGAGGCTTGCTGTGAGTTCACGGCAAGCCTGGGCTACAGAGTGAGTTCATAGTCAATCTGAACCTATATATATAGTGAGACTGTTTCAAAAAACAACGATAATGACGAAATAAATCTGTGCTGTGTGGGGAAGGGAGGAAGCCTGCATTGCCCTAGATTGTCTTCCAGGCGTCCTTTTGGGGTGCACTTGCGAGGAGGAGCTAAAGGGCGCGCCCCAAGTAAGGCTGGTTGGAAACAATTACCCCCTCTACGACCGAACAGTAGCCTAAACCCACACCTAGCTCATTGCCCGGAACATGGTAATCATTCAGTAACTCTTGTGAGGAAGGAAGGGCGGGGTCGGAGCAGCTGAGATTAAGAAATGTTTCGGAGATGAACCGACTGGCGTTGGCAACAGGGAAAATGTGACGCGTGGCCCCGTGGGAACCGCGACATTCCTCTGCCAGGCTCGGTCTGCTCCTCTGGAATCCCGGCCGGCTCACGCGCCCAGGTCTGCGCCTGCGAGGCCGGGCCCCTTATTGGACGGCGCGGGGGCAGAGCTGGCGCAGTCGCGGCGCGCGGTTGGAGCGCAGCAGCGCGGGGCGGGGCTGCGAGCTGCCTGCGCTGGGGACTCTGGAGCGACTACCAGGATTGGAGCGGCGAGGAGGCCCCACGGAGGTGACGCGCTGCGGAGGTGACGCCGTGCGGTCGCGCGCCCCTTCCGGCGCGGGGAGGCCGCTGAGCATCGGGGCCGCTCGGCCGCAGGCCGCCGCGCCAGCGCCGCGGGATGTAGCGCGGGGTACCGCGGCCCCCAGCACCGCCTGCTCGCCGCCCGCCTGGCGGTAAGTTTCCCTCGGGCTGGCCGGGGACAGGGTTCGGCCCGAACGCGTAGCCCCGCGGCCCCAGCCTCGACCCGCGAGGGGACAGCCTGTCCCGAGGTCCCCAGGTCGGGGCGCTGCGAGGGAGCCAGCCGGGCCTCGGGCTTCCCCGCGCGCGGGCTGTAAACATTTCTGGTCTCTCCCACGCGCGCCGCCTCCGGGCTGCCTGCGGAGCATACGAGTGGGCCGCTCGGCCCTGCTGTCTCCCGGTCGCAGCAGCCCAGGTGAATGCCCTGCGTCCCGCCCCACGGAGTGGAGGGCGGTTTGAGGTGCCCTGGCCCCGGTCCTGGTGAGGCGGCGAGCAAACGCCGGAGCTGAGCCCTCCAGTGCGGCTGGGGGCTGGTTGGGACCTGGGTTGCAGAACCGCCGCCCTTTGCGGGACCACTCTCCCCGGCTGGCCGGGGAAGCCCTAGAGCGCCTCAGCCTACAGTCTTTGGCGAGTGAAACGGTGACAGCATCCCATCTTGATAGCTTGAAGGGTAGATTCGTGGACAGTCTTAAGGGTTTAAGGTAACCTAAAAGCTAGAATTCGAGCAGTCTAAATTATAGCACTTTGGGGAACACCGAAATTTCATTCTCTAAAACCTAGAATTTTATGTTTGAGAATTTGAATCTTCACGCCCTAGGTTCTTTAAAGAAAACAAAATAGATAAGTGCTTTCCCTCAGTGTTTTGATGCTTCCTGGGAGAATAGGAAATGGTGGATTTTCGCACAGTTTCAGATGTTGGTGGAGTAGGAGGCTATCCATGTACTCTGCTAGGTTTACTATGGTGTTTCCCTCCAGTATTTAGTAGACAGGCTGGAACATACACAGGTGAATATGTAGGCCACTCTTACATCCAGAGAAGATGGCAACGGCTGATTGTTTGTAAGCAGCAGTTATAGTAGGTTTTGTTCAGTGTTTTTCTCTTTTGATACTGGCAGGGTAGGTTGGGTGTGCAACTGCTGTTCTTGAGGTTTTATAGTGTCTTACACTGGCAGGAATTTCGACTGTGGTGCTGAATAGATTGCAATGTTAGGGTTCCCAGCTTGCAGCCACTAAATGTCTTTTATTATAGGAATAATTTCTGTATATCCATATTTTGACTGGTACTCGGAAGTTAGTTTTAAAAGTTGGTGTTATTTGTGCAGTTCCATCCTAAGGCAGACCTTCAAAAACTATATCTAATTGCAGACTGGAATCTAAAGCATTGTATTCTCAGTGGTCAAGAAATTGCATGACTTCCTAAGGAATAAATAAATGACCACTTGCCTGAAAGTAGGAGCTTCAGAAAACAGGAAGCAACTGGGCTTCCCCAATGCCAGTAAATAAAGTGCACCACCTTAAGAAGGCTTTTAGGCTGTCTTCAGTTTCTTCAGTGTAGCCACTATTTCACTTGTCCAAGACTCCTGTATGCAAAAGTGCATTAGTCACTGCCCTAAGGACTGTATTCTTTCTTTTCTTTCCATTTGTTTTTTGAGACAAGTTCTCATTGGGTAGCTCCGGCAGTCCTTGAACTCACATACAGCCCAGGCCAGCCTCAGACTTGCAGCTATCCTGCTTCAGATTGCGGGGATTGTAGGTGTGCACAACCAAGCCTGCACTGGGGGCCTTGCTCTTTTATTCCCTTGTTTACACCAGCTATCCACCTGCAATACCTTCCTCCCTTCTCTGCCTGTCAATATCCTTTCTTAAAATTCTTCCACAAAACTTCCTAGTCAACTAAAATTGGGCTCACAATAAAAATTCCTAGGGCGTTGATCCTCTGATTCCGGGGAGAAAGAGTGTGTTATCATGACCAGCACTTAATGGCCCTCAGCCTTATAGTGATGTAATTAGAAAAACAAAGGTTTTTTTTAAAAGAGAGTTCTTAAAGGAGGTTCTTTTAAAAGAGAGGCCTAGGCAACCTGGTGGCCCAGGCCTGTAATCCTAATCCCAGCACTCGGGAGGCTGAGGCAGAAGGATCATTGCGAGTTTAAGGCCAGCCTGAACTGCATGGTGAGACCCTGTCTCAAAAAGACAAAAAAAAAAATAGGCTGGGGATTTAGCCCCAGCAGTTCAAGTGCTTGCTTGTTAAGTGTGAGATCATGAGTTCAACCCCATACCAAAAAGAGGGAGAGAGAGGCCAGCAACCGTTGAAAGCTTCTGACTCTTTTATTCCCTATGGAGAGAGAGGGCAAATGCTTAAAAATGTTGGGAGTGTGATTGTAAAATTTGTGGCCATCTTAGATTGGAAAGATTTTTAATATGCCCTCTAGCCAAACTAGTTCCAAGTGATTGGCTCAGGCATGCATCTAGACTGCTTTTTGTTGTTTCCCTGGGGCCTCTGTATTACACAGTATAAATGATTGCTATATTGTACAACTGTGTTGACCCTGTATCTATATTTACCTTAAATTTAAAGATGGTATTAATAACTGTGGCTAGTGTGAAAATCCCTCATATGTCTACATTGGCTTTTATTGTAGTTGTGGCATAAGGAATTTTTATTGGTCTCTGAGATCAAAAAGACCTGAAGCCCCCTTTTTTGTTTATTTTGTTTTCTTGTTTTTTTGAGACAGACTCATTATGTAGTCCAGGCTAGCCTCACACTTGAGGTTATCCTCCTGCCTCAGCCTGCTGAGTGCTAGAATTACAATTGTGTGCCACCACACCCAGTTTAAGCCCTCATTTATTGGGATAGCTTTAACTAAGAAGAGCTACAAAGGAAAGTTGATTGTGATTTTCCCCTTTAGATTCTAAGTCAGTGACACGGCATCAAAGAGCACTTTAGGGCCCAGACTAGAGTTTGGTGATTTCGTACATAGACCTTTGCCCTGATTCATTGTTCCTGCACAGAACTATGAAACTACTCTCCCTGGAAGAGAGTACATGGAGATGATTCTTTGTCTATGCTGCTGTGCTGGTCTTGATTTAGAGCAATGAATCAAGCTACACTGAGAGCCTACCCACAGAATCTCTACGGGTTCAGGAACTCTCAATAAAAACTCCTAGGGCGTTGATCCTCTGAGTCCAGAGAAAGAGTGTGTTATCATGGCCTGGAAAACTCAGAAATTGGTTCATAGAATAAATGTCTCCAAAAACTGTTAGGGAAATAATTCTCCAGCTAAGTGACTGGTGATTAAGAATCTTTTCTCTGAATTTGGCCCAGGATTACCTTACTGTAGAAGAACAAACACCCTCCTGCCTCCACGGCTTTGTTGTCCAGTTTCTAGGCTATCCAGTTAGAAAGTTTAGTGCCAAAGATTATGAGCTTGAGTTGAAGAAATCCTACCAAAAATGTACTCAGTGACGTTTGGCTCAATTATAATCTGCTGTGTTGGGTGTGGCAAGTTGGAGAGGAAAGGTGTTTCCTATAAAATACATAAAGACCTAGAAAGAAAGCTGGCAGAAAGTCAAAGTATATTTTGGTTCTCCTGTGATGGTTTTATATAATAAGACAAAATCACTCATGAAAGTGGTGTGTGAGTGATCCACCCTATAGAAGTGTTATTTTCAGAAGCCAGTGTTACTTGCTGTTCCTCTGTTGCCAGACCTCCGAACCCTGTCTCTCCCTTTCCTGTCTCTGTGTTGCTACAGTTTAGAAGACCAAGCTGGACAGTGGACTTTGCTCACTAAGATGACATGATCTCCACTGACTTCCATTGTATGTACTTTAATGCATGATGATGTATTTTGTGTGATGAGTTGTAGCTGATGGCTGGTTTGTGACATAACTGGGGTGTGTGTTAGGTTTGGTGACTTTTAAGTCTAGAAGATGAGAGGGAGCACAGAAGCTGGTGACAGAGAAGCTAGAGGGAATTAGTAACTAACAGAAAGTGATTTGGACTGAAAAAGGAAGACATTTTTGATGGTAGCCAAGAGACTTGAGTGGATAAAAGCTTTTCAGTTCAAATGAAGAAATTAGAATACCAAGCTGGATTCTGTTTCTGATCTTTGGATCCTAATTGTCCACCTTCAGGTTTCTCTATATTCTCATTGTCTCTGTAAAATAGATATACAACACTGAATTTAGTGTGTGACCTTTTTAGTTAAGAGGTTCTGTCTCTTCACTACCCTCCTGGAGGAATGAAATTGTATTACTTAATTTGTTTTTTGAGTTGCTTATTTGGTGTGGTATTAGGGATTGAACACAGGGCCGTGTGTGTGTTAGGCAAGCACTCTACCACCAAGCTACATCCCCATTATTACTTGATTTGGACATCCCTTGTATTTGGATGTCACTGCCTTGTGCCATCTAATTATAGGTTCTTTGAAAATGGTGACATAACTTATTCAACTTCATATTTGCACAGGGCCTTAGAAGCCTAGGACTAAATACATTTGTTAAATATTCATTGACTATATTGACTTATTCTGGGGGAAGAGGTAAGAGAAAGCCTCTCAGCACAAGAAAAAGGACACAGACCTTGTCTAGTAGCAAGACAGTAATGCATATACTTGTTGGCTAGACTCTCCCCCATTCATTCATTTCAAAATATCAGTTCTGATCAAAATAATGAATATGCATCACTTTATGATCACTTATGTAGTGTTGATCCCAGATTTTTAGGTGGTTCATTTTTTTTCATTTCTGCTATGGTGGCCAGTCTGTATCATGGGTAGCAATATTATAACCAAAGTATCCCTTTAAGAAGTCCCAGGCTTCTTAAGTTGCCCGAAAACTATTTGTATTTTTTTGCTCAGTGGTATAAATGATTTCTTAGTAAAGCTGTTTATTCAGTAGTACTTCATTTTGAAGAAATATGTTTTGAGGTCAGCTGTGAAGAAAGATTTCCCATTGTTTATGATCATGTGGGTTGCCGGTGCCCTGAGGTTTTCAGAGGCCTCCAGTTTCCTGTTCTTGAGCTTGGCAGCTGTTGACTCTGTGTGTGCTGGCATCTCTCTTGTCAGGAAGAGGAACTGTCTTTGTGTTGACACCATATAAAGGTCTGCCATACAAGTTGTTTTTGTCACTCTTGAACTGGATTTGCCTGTTGCTTTCAGCTGTGCTTGTGGGTTGTACGCAGCATGACCATGACTATTTTGGAATTTGAGGTTTGCCCTCACCTGAGGGCAAATTAAAGCTTTGGGGTCCTCTGGAAAGAACAGTAAGAGAAAGACAAGAAGCCAGGCAGGCAGTGGCCAATAGATGAGAGAGGATCCATTAGGGGAATGGGTTCACAGGAGTGTGGAGACAACTTTGATAACAGGCATCTGCAAATTACACAACCAGGGAAGCGAGCAGGAGGGCTTAATACAAGACTGAAGGCCTCAGAATCACATTGGGTAGCTCATAGTCCAAGGCTGAAGAAGGCCTGAGACTCTGGGGGCTTCTGTTGCCAGTTACAGAGTCCATAAGCCACAGAACTTAAGGTCCTTTTATGTCTGAGGGGAGGACAGGGTCCAAACTTGGTGTTAGAGGTTGGAGAGAGAAAATTTCATCTCTCTTGTCCCTGTTTGTTGTGTCTGTGTCCACAGCTGATTAGATGAAGTCCACACACACTGAGTGAAGGCAAATCTTCCCAAGTCTATTAATTCAAATGCCAGTCTCTTCCCGAAACACCTTCACAAATATAACCAGAAATAATATTTTGTAAACTATCTGGATATCCTTTAATCTAGTCAAGTTGATACCTAAAATTAACCATCACACCTGACTACATATACCCAATTATAATCCCTGAGAAGGATTTATGATTACTGTTGAATAAAACTAGTACAAGATTTCAGAAATGTTGCCATGTATAGTGAGCAACAATGTGGTGTCATGTCGGGGGATGGAGGGGGGCGTGGGGGGGTGGAGACATGTTTACCTCCCAACATCAGGGAGTTGGGCTCCCTAAGTTCTTTTCCATAGGGTGCAACCCACACCAGGATGTCTTTCCATTGTCCTGTGGTAACAGTGCAAAAAAAATGCTGAGATTCTAGCTGTGATCATTGTTTGTTTCTAGCTATTGTAGCTTTTGTCTTTGAGAGGGAAAAAGGAACCAGTGATTTACAACATAGTAGAAATCTTTGAAAACTTTTCCTTTCTCTTCTGTGTTATTTACACGTCCCTCAGACCTGATTAAAGATTATTTCCTAAAGTTTGGCTCAAAATACAAAGTGTCTCTGAGACTTCCTAGAAAACTGAAGTCTGGGTTTCTCTGGTTTTCCTGAAGGATCTGTGTGACTGTGTTTCAGAAACTGGAAAACTCATTTGAGACTGTAATAGTTGTGACAAGCTCTTGTGGATCCAGTTATTAGGTACGTGTATGGCAAAGTACAAACATAGGGCTGCCTCCTTATTTAAGCTTCCTGCTTCCAGGTAAGTTATAGCTTGCTTTAAGAAGAGAAGTGATGAAAGCATGGTATCTAAGTGTTGAACTAAAGCTCTCAGTCTAAAGTAGAATTAAGATATTGCAGAGAAATTAACCCCACTAAGCATCCATCTTACACCATGTTCCTTTTGTATGCAAAGTATAGTTGTCAGAACATAGATAAAGCCTGTAGATAAAGTCCAGCTGAGTTGATTTGGTACTTAAGTGATTTCTGAACCTGATTTCTAAATCTGGATGATCTTGTAATTATAGCTAGGTGTTGGCTTTTTGTTTCTCAGTCACAAAACTGGGCAGAATGAGTGTTAGGACTGGCAGCAAGACTCTTTATCACTAAAAGGGCTCCATTCCTTCTGGAAGAACTTTGGAATGGGTACCTGTATTTCTATAGTGACAGTTTGGTGTAATAACCATAGATCCTGTAAAGGCAAGCAAGTTGGTGTTACATGTATTTTCAGCTTTGTGAGACTTGTGAAATTCTAGGTAAAGGGTGAAAGAGAGGTCAAGGAACAGACTTAAGCAGTAAACTAGCTTTTACAGTTGGGCATAGGGTATGGCCTAATTAGCTGTGTCTTACTCAGCATCACATTATGGAGATGAAGCTGTAAGGAATAAATTATCACATGCTTCACGTTTGTGTTTGTGTTTAGTGTTTGCTGTCACAGGGAGATCTCTGCCCCTTGGGGCTGAGAGACCCCAACCTTCTCCCAAGCTGAAGCTGCAAGACCTTGAGGTACCAGCCAGATGTCTTCCCACAAAGGATCTGTGGTGGCACAGGGCAATGGCACCCCCGCCAGTAACAGGGAAACTGACACGATGGAACTGGCTGAACTGGGACCTCTGCTAGAAGAAAAGGGCAAGCGGGTAATTGCCAACCCAACCAAAGTAAGTAGTCTTCTCAGTCTACTCTGAAAAGTCTGACTTCATGCACCTTGAATATTGCTGTTCATGTCCATAAGTATCTTTTTGTCTTTTCCTATTGTAAGTTTGGAGAGTTCACTCCGAAATGGTCAGCACTTTATAATTCCACTGCTTAGCACAAGGCTTAAAATCTAGTAAGTATTAAATTTCTGTTAACAGATGTAGAAAGCTGTCACCTAGGGTTAAGGTTGGCATCATGTAACAAAATCCCTATGTTATGTTTTGTTTTGTTTTGGTACCAGGGATTGAACTCATATGACCTTGCACTTGCCAGGCAGGTGCTTACCCACTGAGCTATATCCCCAGCCCAGAATCCCTATTGTTCTGACAAGTTGGAAGTCTGTCTCGACAGACTGAAAAAAGATTCGGAAACTAACCAGTCCAAGGCTGATAGGGAGGCTCTGCTGCCGTCAGGTGCCTGGCTTGCTCTCCTCCATTATGTGCACATCCTGCCCATCAAGGAGGAAAGAGCCAGAGATATAGCTCAGTGGCATAAGCACCTGGCAGCACAGGGTCCTGAGTTTTATTCCCAGTATAAATAAACAAATAGATATTTATTTAGTGCCATTTAAAAAAAGGAGAAAAGAGGAAGAAGATCATTCTGACTTTTAAAGACAGCATCAGGAGGGACTCAACACCTAGGCCAGAACTCAGTTGCATACATGTATCAGTGCAGTAAAGGTTTAAATGCAACTTTCATTTGGGCCTGAGTAAACTGCAGTGACACTCCCACTCTGAATAAAACCAATGCCTTCCTGCCATAGGGACCCGAGAGAATGAATGGCTGACGGGGTAGGCCGGAATCTGCATCACAGAATAAGAGGGACCAAAGGAAGTGGGACCACAGGCAGTTGAGGCTGGGCTTCCCATCTTTGTGGTCTGGAGCCTGGGACCCAGGAGAAGGTCTCTCTCTCCTCCATGGGCACATGCTCTCCTGGGTGTACCTGGCAAGGCTCAAGAGTTGGCACTGCTGCTTGGTGTCCAAGCAATGCAGAGGCTCACATACTCTGGAGAGCGGCCATGGATACAGAGTTGCAGTCATGATAGCATCCCCAGAGCCAGTGAGAAGACAAGCATGAAAAATAGGATTGCTATTAAGGAAATCTTGGAGACCCTATGTTCTTTGCATTGTTTTGAAATTTTAGTGGCCTGGAAGAGAAAAATTTACTAAAATCGAGGAAAGTGAAGAACCACTTATTGTACACCTAGAGTACCAATCCTGTGTCCCTCCATGCTGAATAGAACTTTCATTCCAGCATTTACAAACTGTTAATTACCTTTGAACTACAGTTTTGTGAACTCAGTAAGTATCATACTTTTGGAAGAGAGGTGCAAGACCCACAGTAGGGTCGAAACTGGCCAGAACATGTTGCGTTTAGGTCTCTATGATCAGGAATGGTCCAGTTTAGCTGGGCATGGTGGTGCATGCCTGTAATCCCATCATGTAGGAGGCTGAAGCAGGAAGATTGACATGAGTTCAAGACCAGGCTGAGCTACGCATTGAGACCCTGTCTCAAAAAAGTTCAAGGAGAGGTTTATTTATGGGGTAACTCCCTGAAGTTTTGATTATTGGTTAGTGGTTTTTTTCCCACAGGCTGAAGATGAGCAAACATGCCCTGTCCCCCAAGAAGAGGAAGAGGAGGTGCGGGTGCTCACGCTCCCCCTGCAGGCCCACCATGCCATGGAGAAGATGGAGGAGTTTGTGTACAAGGTACAGCCCAGAACTCCATCCTGCAAGGGGAAAGGCCACAAACTATGTTGGGCATTGTTCCAAAGAGATTTTTAATTTTGTATGTATATGTGTGTGTGTGTGTCTGTGTGTGTGTGTCTGTGTGTGTGCGATATGTGACCCTTTGGCAGTCATCCAAATAATTATATAGTAATATGGGCTGCTTTATTAATACATTACATATGCATTAATGATAGGCCTTAACATGTTTTATTAAAATTTCTAGTTCCTGAGTAATGAGGTTTTAAGATATATGCAAAACGAATTTATGAAAGAAAGACACTGTATTGGTGTATTCCTGTAATCCTAGCACTCTGGAGGCTGCAGGCAAGGGGTGTGAGTTTGACGCCAGGCTAGGCAATTTATGAAGTTCAAGGCCACACTTGTCTTCAAGAAAATAAAAACAAAACAAAACAAATGGCTTGTTTTGTTCTGCATTTTGCCATACTGAGGACTGAGCCCAGGGCCTTGTGGATGCTTAGGCAGGCACTCCACCACTGAACTTCATCCCTGACCCTGAAAATGTTTGATTTATATTGGTAACAAAGCCATAAGTTCTAATACTACTGATATGTGTTGCTGTTTTTTGTTGGTGGTTTGGTTTGGTTTTTTTGGTACTAGGGATTGAACCCAGGGCTTTTACACTGAGCTATATCCCCAGCCACATTTTTGAGACAGAGTCCTTCTAAGTGGTCCCAAATGACCACTTAAACTTGGCAATCCTCCTGCCTCAGCCTCTCAGAGTCCTGGAATTACAGATGTGCACCCAACTCTGTTGTTTACTTTTACAATTGGGGTAAATGAGGGTAAGGTAAATTATTCTATGCAAATTTTCATCTATTCTGCGGATTTTATCTGCCATTCGTAGATCCTGTTGTACAAAGATGAAGGTCCAGCCCAGTAAGAAATTAGAATCTAACTAGGTAAAAGGAAGGAGCAGAAAGCAAGCACCTAGAGAAAAAGCAGTCTCTAATTTTTAAAAATATGTAATTTCTTTGTTTTCATTATATTAATTTTTTAAGTTTCAACAAGTCTAACAGTAGTTGTATAAAATAGCGTTTAAAGGTTGAGAAACACCTAAAACATACCCAGATAAACAACATGAAGGAAGGACAAAGGGAGTTTTGTTTTTTAGTAAGTAGTCAAAATAGGATCAATTCTTCCCAGTCCTTTTGTGTTGCCTTTTTTAATGAAAAAAAATGAAACAAAACTTCATAACAAAATAACAGTAGTTAATACCCTACTATCATTATCTTCAAAGTAGTTACTCAGGATACAAGATATAAACCAAAATTTTCTTTTCAGTTCACATAATCTAGTAGTATAAGTGGAAACAAGTTAGTATACATGTTGAAATATTTTTGAAACAATAAACTCTGTAATTGGGGAAATATTGAACTTCTTTCCATTCCTGTTTATCTTTTCTGCTGTGCTATGTCTTGACCATCTGTTAGTCTAGACCAATTCCCTACTATGGGCTAGAACCATCCAGGCTGGCTGACATTCTTCTAGACTGGTTCTTTGCAGTGTGTCCCTGGGGAAGCCAGTATTGTCTAAGGCCCTTCTTAGACACTCTGTATCCATTCTAGGTCTGGGAGGGACGTTGGCGGGTCATCCCATATGATGTGCTCCCCGACTGGCTGAAGGACAATGACTACCTATTACATGGCCACAGACCACCCATGCCCTCCTTTCGGGCTTGTTTCAAGAGCATCTTCCGCATCCATACAGAAACTGGCAACATCTGGACCCATCTGCTTGGTGAGTGAGTCAAATAGAGAAAAGTCCAATATTTTCTCTCCTGTAAATGTCTAGGCATTATATATATAGTCTTGGTCAATGAGAAGAAAGTTGCTGTAGGGCTGTACTATTACTGACCTTGACCCTTGATCACTGTTTTAAGACTGAGGGTGGCATGACCCAAATGAAACTGCTCCTTCAAAAAAAAAAAAAAAGACTGAAGGCAGAAATGTTAGAAACAAAGTACACCACTAGGACTAGATGTTCTCTTGGATTCCTAGTAGAACTGTTGTAGATAGAGGTGACTTGTTCAGAATTTCTCATTGCAAAAACAAAATGCCACCATTTTGAAACCTAGTCCTTTTGTCTGAGTTGGACTGACTGGTGGCCATTTTTTCTTGGAGTTTATAGCACAGTTTCCACAACTCGCTCCACAGTTGATGGATGGAAAGCTGTTAGCTGTCACAGCACGTTTTCACCTCACAAGTTCCCTTCTCTTTTCCTCCTGCAGGTTTTGTGCTCTTTCTCTTTTTGGGAATCCTGACCATGCTCCGACCAAATATGTACTTCATGGCACCGCTGCAAGAGAAGGTGGTTTTTGGGATGTTCTTTTTGGGTGCAGTGCTCTGCCTCAGCTTCTCGTGGCTCTTTCACACCGTCTATTGTCATTCAGAGAAAGTCTCTCGGACTTTTTCCAAGTGAGTTGAAAGGACAGCTACAGGATAGACCACCACAGTTGTCACATCTGGTGGTCCCAGTGCTAACTGGGTACTGGAAACCCTTGTAGCTCCCAAAGAGGCCCTGGGGTACCTAAGGAAAAGCTTCATGTTCTATAGCCATAGCAAGATGATGAAGCTTTGCACTACAGATGCTTTATGAACAAATTGACTGTCATCTCCTTGAGAGGTGGAAACTGGCTGTGAAATGTATTTGCTACCTAAACAGTTCTATCTTGTGAAACAGACTGCTAGTGGGTTGTTTTCCAAGACCATGTATCCCAGTGCTAGTACTCATTGGTGCAGGCGTGACAAGTACTGTCCTCCCCACCAGTCAAGTGAAGCTTATCTTTGCGGTCCAGGCGTTGGTGGAAGCACAGGCGTCCATCTGATGCTTTCCCTAACCCCCAACTAAGCCTAGGGTTCTGTTTATTTGTGTGCTTGTTTTTGTTACTGTTGGTTTTGGTAATGGTGTTGATAAATTATTTTGTTTTTCCCAGTAACAACAGTAACAAGAGTTCATTGTGAAAAGAGTTAATGCAAGTATGGTGGCTTTCACTTATAGTTATAGCTCTAGCTACTTGGCAGACAGAGGCAGGAAGATTGCTTGAGTTCAGAAACTTGAGGCCAGCCTGGGCAACATAGGGATACTGTGGCACCAAATAAATAATAAATGTCAAAAACAAATTACTGTACCCTCAGAGTAAGTCCCTGAGTTACAACCATTTGAGTTGCAAACTTTCACAGGTATACAGTATAAGACTCACTTTGTCAAATCATGGAACAATTCTGACAGACAGACACTCTCCCTGAATGGAACTCATTTGTAAGTCAGAGACTTATGGTATACTCAATTCCAAAATCAAAGAACTTTGTTTTAGAGCTCATTGTGTCAGAATAAGGAATTACTCAGAGCTCTTCTTGTGATCCTGAGAACCAGCTTTGTTGTGATAGACTTCTAAATTCTGGTATCTAGTATCTAGAAGGATACCAAAGAAAAGGGTTTAGAGTTCCAGGAGCAGGAATTCTTGGGGACTTAGCACTGTAAAATAAAAGTGTTTGCCCTTGTGAAGTTTTACTCTAGGAAATGGGGTAGATTGTATAACAAGTGAAGAGAGACTAGGGATAGTCAAATCTGGGAGCAAGTAGAAAACAGAAGAACCAGTTTAAATGAGCCATGAGATTTCTTCCACTGATCTGTTTCATTTTTGTGGTTTTTTAGACTGGACTATTCAGGGATTGCTCTACTGATTATGGGGAGCTTTGTCCCCTGGCTCTATTATTCCTTCTACTGCTCCCCACAGCCTCGGCTCATCTACCTCTCCATCGTCTGTGTCCTGGGCATTTCTGCCATCATTGTGGCACAGTGGGACCGGTTTGCCACTCCTAAACACCGGCAGACAAGAGCAGGTAACTACAGAAACAGTACCAAGTTCAGTATTTGGACCTTGGGCCTTACCAGGCCAACCCTACAGTTGGCAGTTTGGGACCCCCACTGGTACCTGATACGTGTTTAGAATTTTCATAACAGCATGAATTTCTAAAGCTTACTCACATGAATGTCAGTATTTCAGTAGTTTCACAATAGGACAGAGATTATTACGCAGCTGGTCAGTTAGCTACAAGCATAGATATGAGTGCTCTTATATTGATTTAAGAGAATTCAAAAATACAGCAAGCACAGACCACAATTTTAGGGACCTGAATCCTAAGTACTCAGACCAAGATACTAAAATAAAACACCCTCGGCATTTTACTAGGAGAATGCGAAGCCTGATGTGGTGAGAGAAAAGAGACCTTGAGCATGAACACTGGTAACAGTATACAAAGAGCAGGAGCATCTGGTCTGTGTTGTCTCAGTTGGGTTCTTACTTTAAGCTTTGATTAATTACAACAATTACCAATTACCATAGTTTTTAGTTCTTTTAGACTTTTTTGTGTTTTGAGACAGGGTCTCCTTATGTAGTTAGCCTGGCCTTGAACTCACTGTGTATCCCAGCCTGGCTTCAAACTGCAGTAATCCTCTTGCCTCAGCCTCCTGAGTGCCAGAATTATAGGCTGTGCACCACCACAGTCACTCCCTTTAGAGTTCATATCTGCTATGTTTTAACTTTTAGCTAAAAGAATTAAATATTTATCAGGCACCAACCATTCAGTAGGCACTGTGCTTAAACAAGGCTATTTACAAAGGTGAAGAAGGTAGTTCCTGCCTCCTGGCTCTGTGGTGTAGTGCTATTCAAACAATACCATTTTTCTCCTGTTCGTACTTTATTTGTATGTCCCAGGAGCTGTGGACAACTGCTCATCTGGGTATATTGATCCATCAGGAGGCCAAGAGGCCTATTACATAAGTCTTTTTTATGTCCATGATGGGAAACCTGCCCACTCTTCTCTGTCTTGGGAGCCAGCTGAAGCCTTGCCATCTAGGATCTGTACCCAAGTTGTCTATCAGAGAATTCTGACATATTTCCCCCTGCAGTGCCAGAGCCATACATATGCTAGGCAACTACTCCACAAATGACCCAGAACCCTAGCCGCAACAGTTCAGTATTGTTTTTTTGTTTCATGAGACGGGGTCTCACTGAGTTTCCCCAGCTGGCTTCAAACCCTCCTGTGTTGGCTCCTGAATAGCCAGGACTACAGGCATATGCTACCGTGCCTGGCTTGACATAAGATTTTTACCTGTGTATCCCAGGCTGCTTAAGAGGAAAATGAAAACTATGAGGTGTGTCTTCTTCCCATCCTGCTCAATGGGGATACACAAGAACTGTCTGCTGACTGCTTAACCCACTTTTAGGCTAAGCTTTCTAAACATGTCCTGTTCACTCAAAAATAGCTACAGTACTTACCATAAGTGTTTGGATTCTGTCATAAAGCAGCAGAGCTTTCCACGTAGTAGCTGTTTCCCTGCTTGACTGTCTCGTGTCTGCTCTGTTCAGGAGTGTTCCTGGGACTTGGCTTGAGTGGTGTTGTGCCCACCATGCACTTTACTATCGCTGAGGGCTTTGTTAAGGCCACCACCGTGGGCCAGATGGGCTGGTTCTTCCTCATGGCTGTGATGTACATCACCGGCGCTGGCCTTTATGCTGCTCGTATTCCTGAGCGCTTCTTCCCTGGAAAATTTGACATATGGGTAAGAAATGACTCTTCTAGCAGGGCCTGGGAGGGTACGTGACCATCTCAAGGTTGAAGATCCTAGGGAAAGGTAGTAAGACATTTGGATATTATTGCGTATACATGGGCAGGAAGTAACCAGTGTTAAATGTATCTCTGATACTTTTTAAATTTTCCTACCAAGTGGTGGCGGGCAAGGGGGAAAAAATATCGATGTGTTATATACATGTACTAATTCTCTACAGTGGATGTAATCATTACGTATTGCAAACATGTACTGAGACACCAGTGTGGTGGTGCATGTCTATAATCCCAGCTACTCAGGAGACTGAGGCAGGAGGATCGTGAGTTTGAGGCCAGCCTGGGCTATGCAATAAGTTGAAGACCTGAACTACATAGTGAGACCTTGTCTCAACAACCCTGCCAAAAAAATGTACTAATAAGGGTAAATAGAATTAAAACTTTCTATGACAAATGTCACTTTTATGATGAAAAAAAGAAAAACTAGAAAAGAAATGCTTTCTTCTACTTAGTTCTGTTTTTTGGGGTTTGTTTGTTTTTTTGGTACCAGGGTTTGAACTCACAACTTAGCACTTGTCAGGCAGGCACTTATGCCGCTGAGCTAAATCCCCAACCCTTTTCTACTTAGTTCTAATTCCCCCTTGCCATTATCCTAAAAAACTGTTCTTTGTATTCCCGCAGTTCCAGTCTCATCAGATTTTCCACGTCTTGGTGGTAGCAGCAGCCTTTGTCCACTTCTACGGGGTCTCCAACCTGCAGGAATTCCGTTATGGCCTAGAAGGTGGCTGTACTGATGACTCCCTGCTCTGAGCCTCCCCTTCGCATGGTGGAGGAACAGCTTCCCAAGTGCTTTCAAAGACAACTTCTTTGCTGAAGTGAGAGGAAGACTCGGAGTTGTCTGTTTCTAGAAGAAACCTCTTAGAGAATTCACTACCAATCAAGTGTCAGCTCACTGGGACAGCCTGTGGGCAAGTGACTTTCCATTCAGCCCCTAGCTGGGGAGGGTGCAGAGGGCCAGCCTAGCCGTGCCCCTGCTCCACAGCACCCTTCTCGGCAGAGCAACTACTGGTCCCTTGAGAGACAGTACTTTGAAGCTCATGTTGAGATTTTACCCCCTCCTCTAACCATTTTGGGAAAAATTATGGACTGGGGCACTTCAGAAATTGGTTTCTTTTTTTTTTTTTTCTGAAAGAAAAATGTCCCTCCCTTACCCCCATCCTTACTTTGTAACAGGCCATCCATTTTTGTAGCACATTTTTCAAAAACAATTATAACCTGGTCCATCTTTCTAGGGCCTAGATCTGCTTCACACAGCAGAAATAATAAAGCCACCAACTTTTACATAGCCCTGCTAATCATGGAAATGTGTCCAGGGTTCAAATAACTTGAGTTTTAATTTTTTTTTCTTGGCAGAGTAATGTAAAATTAAAATGGGGAAAGATATTTAATATTTAATACTAAGCTTTAAAAAGAAACCTGCTATCATTGCTATGTATCTTGATGCAAAGACTGATAATAAAAGAAAGTATAGAAGACACTTTGGCATTCAGAGATTTAACATGCCTCATCTCAGCACACAACTCCAAAGGATTAAGACGTACAGTAATTCTAGATTCTCCTGAGGCACAAAATTAAATCCTAGGTAGACATTTATGGTCAGGTATGTGCATACAGGTCAGTGAATGGATCTAATTGAATTCTTGCTATCAGCTCCTCAGTACAACTTTTTCTCTATTTGTTGCATGAATACCTTGAGAAATTACTGCATAATAGTATTTAGTAACTAGAAGATTCTCAGAAGTGTTGGGTAAAGTTGGCACAACTGGGAGAACAAATGATCCTTTTACAAAGTAATACACAGGCCAACAAACAGGTAGTTTCTTAGAATGCTTTAAATGGTAATGGAGGAAATGTAAATTAACCAAAATGATAAAGCATTTCATTTAACTAGATTGGCATAAATTTAAAAGCCTAATATTGAGTGCTGGTGCTGTGTGAACAGCTTAGATTCTACTGGTGGATAGATATGTACACTGAAAGAATCATTCTGTATGGACATGCTTGGAATACATACTGCAACAGATAGGTCATGAAATGGCTAAGGGTGTTGCTCAGTGGCAAAACAAATGAAATTAGGATGTAAAATGATCAGGGTTGGATCCTCAGCACCAAGAAAAGAAAAAAACAAAACAGAACTATGTGAGATGTGTATGGTATGGTGCCAGTCCTGACCCACTAAATTGTTTTCCTACCTCATTAATGGTTAACAACACATACTTGAAAACCACTGCTCTTGAGAGTGTTGACTGTGGAGCCAGGCGTAGTAGTGCATCTGTAATCCCAGCACTTTGGGAGGCTGAGGCAGAAGGATTGGTAGGTCAAGCCCAGCCTGGGTAGTGACCTAGGGAGACCTCAAAATTGATTTTAAACGCAGGACAGAGGGGACCCTGCTTATACCAAAGGGTTTGTTTGCTACTTTCGTAGCAGCGAAATATTGCAAACATCCTAAAGTGTTGATGGAAAAATAAATCTTGGTTTATCCATATATTAAAACAGTGAAATAAGTTACAATGGCAGCAACAATGTAGTTACATCTCAGAAATAAGTTGGACCAACAAGAAAGGGGACCATCTGGTATAACTGTCCTGATGTATGGTTCAGAAATATCCAAAACTAACTACAGTGTAATGATACAGATTTTTTGTGTGTGTGCCGGAGATCAACTCACAACCTTGCACTTGCTAGGCAGGTGCTTATGCCACTGAGCTAAATCCCCAGCATCATGATACAGATTATATGGTTAAAAACTTTTTTAAAGGTAACGTTAGCTGCATATGATGGCATTTCAGCATTTCAATAGGCTGAGGCAAGAGGTTCACTGCAAGTTCCAGACTCCAGCCTGGGCTACATAATCTGTCTCAAAAAACCAGCTGGACATGGTGGTGCCTCCCTATAATCCCAGCATTTGGGAGGCTGAGGCAAAAAGGTTACCACAAATTCCAGGGTCACCAGAACTACACAGACCTTGCCTCGAGAAAAAAAAAAAAAAAAAAAGCTGGGCATAGTGGCACATGCCTGTAATCCCAGAACTCAGGAGGCTGAGGTGTGAGGATCACTGTGAGATCAAGACCAGCCTGGCCTGTATAGTGAGACCCTGTCTCACAAAAAGTAAACAAATAAATGAAGTATTAATTCTGAATATGTTACCTCTGAAGAGGTAAGAATAGAATAAAGTTAATTTTTAACTAAGTGGTGACAGCTAGGTATTCCTTAAATGATGAGTCTTATTTGGTGTTTTTTGTTAGTTTCCTGAGACAGGTCTTCCTACATAGTCTAGGTGAGCTTTGACCTCACTGTAGTGCAGGCTGACCTTGGATTTAGAATCCTCCTACTACAGCCTTACCATCACACTCAGCTTGCAAGGTGTTTACAGATACATTTAAGGAACCAAACATGGTGGTGTACTTGTAATTCAGCACTTAGGAGACTTAAGTAAGAGTGTGAATTTGGGGCCAGCATACATGCATACCCATGTTTATAGTGGCATAATTCACGATAGCTGAACCACAGAAACAGCCTAGATGCCCATCAATTAAATGAATAAAGAAAAAATATATATATAATGTAGTGTTATTCAGCCATAATGGAGGAAATCATCATTTGCAGGAAAACAAAACTAGAGACCATCGTGTCCACAGCTCAAAAGTATGTCCTTCATAGGGGCTTCTGCTCTCCAGTTTTTCCTTTGCCCACCAAGAATGATTTACTGTAGTCATCTGCTGGTGCCTGGAGGCACCTGAGTTTGAAGTACCTTAACTGCCTTGCAACCTAAGGAAAGTTCAGCAAAACCCCTTGTTGGTAAAAATACACACGGAAGTTCCTTTGTCCCTTCTCCCTGGAAAGGGTCTGCTTGTTTATCTTAGCTGATTTCAACAGGAACCAGCCCTTGGGAGGTGTGACTTCACCCTAGACACAAATTCAACGAATAAATTTCTAATCAATGGAAAGCCCAGATTGCACTAAATCTCTAAGAGGTGTATTCTCGAGTTTTCATATTTGCTTACTTGGCACTGCAAAAACAGCAATTTAGCCTGGCTAGTCGCAGATTTGCCCTATACTCTGTACTTGGTTTAGGGCAGTGATGGCCAAATTTTTAGAGCTTTCACACAGCCTGTTGTGGCACATATGCTATAGGTTCACCTCCACTGATCTAGGGTTTTCAAGGCAAATCCTCAGTGTTCGATTACTGAAAACTTACAGCAGCTATGGTTACACAGAATCACCCCAGGTGTCTATACCATAAAATAAGATTATGGAACCTAATCAAACCTAACCAGATCCAGCCCTCCTGAATATACCTAAAAAACTCAAAGTCTGGATCAATGTCCAAATGAGTGGAAATAAAGCAGTATGGTAAGGACAGTGTTAAAGATCTGATACTGTACATACTAAGACTGTATCCTTGAAGAAAACTGCACGTTGATTTCCTTGCTATCCGCCTATCTTTATTCTCTGGAAAAAGAGTGGGCATATTCCAAACAAAGGCTCTTTCCTTTTGTATTTGGAAATATTCTTAATTTAGCAGCCAGAGATTAGGGAATATCACTAGATGCTGTTCTGCATCTAAAAAGTGAATCACTTTTAAATTGTACATATTTCTAATTTACATGATGCAAAATCCAAAAGAGATGTAGAGGAAAAACCCTCCTTCCCACCATCTCAAAACCAATCAGTTTCACTCCCCAAGACAGCAGTGTTACCACTTTACATTTTTCCAAATAATTTTATAGACATTCAAGCAAATATATTTTCTCACTTTTACATAAATAATAGGAAACCATACAGTTGACAGCTGCATAGTATTGGATTGTATGGCTGTACCACACTTAACTGCATGAGTCCCCTGCCAGTAGATGAAGGTTTTCTGTCTAATCTACAAACAATGCTGCAGTGAACAAGTTATCCATTATTTTACATGTGCACAAGTATATATGAAGGATTTGGTTCATTCATATCTTAGTTACTTTTCTTGTTAGACAAAATACCTGATAAAATTAAAAGTGGAATGGTTTGTTTTCAGTTTACTGTTTGTAGAAGTTTCAGTCCATAATAGCTGGCTCCAAGGCACAGTGCATGGCAGAGTGGCACTGTAGAGAAGTAACAGTCCAAAGACAGTAGGGAGGAGACAGCAAAATCACAATAGCAAGGCTGCCTTCTCTCTCTCCCTTTATATTCCACCCAGGTGTAAACTTTTTGACTGGTTTCACCCACATCCAGGGTGGGGCTTCTATTATCCACACCCTTAATTGCAATATCACACCCTTAATCCACATTAACACACCCCGATCCAGCCACCTTTCAAAGTATCCACCTATAATGGCATGAGACTTTGGCGGGATATCTAGATACCCCATAACGACTCACAACAACTTACGTTTTTGATGAGTATTTCCAAAAGATTCCCAACAGAATTTATACCAATTGGCACTTCTATATATAAGTATCAGGGAAAGTTTTAGGTCAGGAAGACATATGAAAGGTGGAAACATTAAGTAAAGATATTATCCTTAAGAAACAAAGGTTGCAGCCAGGGATATAACTCAGTTGCACAGTGCCTGCCTGGCAAGCACAAGGTTCTGAGTTGATTCCCAGTACAAAAAAAAAAAAAAAAAGAAAAGATTGCTGGTCATAGCGGCACAAATCTGTAATCCCAGCGTTTGGAAGGCTGAGGAAAGAGGTCTGCTGCAAGTTCTGTTGGCCATTAACCCCAAAAATAATCAGTGCACAAATAAAGGGCTCAGACTCCAAGAAATCTAGTTGGTGAAGTTTTTAGTTTTGCAGAAGGGTGTGAGCACACCTAGCTGCAATAGCATCTCCTTATACATCCTAACGGGGTAGCTGACCTTTTGCTCATTGGCTGGCTAGAAGGTTCACCATCAATCTCAATTGTCTAGTTTAGGTGGTAAGAGTGGGGCCTGATGGGCTTGCAGGCCTGAGTGGCTGAAGAGATTCTTAGAGACAAGGTGTTCCTGGAGTTCAAGCAGCAGACTCTCCTTGTAACTGTAACAATTGCGATCTTAGTGTGTGGAGTTGAGAAGGCCTGCCTAAGCTAGTTTCAGGAGGAGGTGCTCCTGTAAACATTCTGTTTTATGTCACATTTCCCCACAGTTGGAGGCCAGCCTGGGACTGAACAGTGAATTCAAGACAATTGTGAACCACACAGAGAGAGCCTGTCTCCAGAAAACATCAATTAATCAATCAGTCAATCAAAGGTAGAGCGCTTGCCTAGCATATGTGAGGACTGGGCCCAACTTAAAGGCCCAACTATAGCCAAACACACTTAGTTTGAACATTCACACATGCTGAACCAAGTAACATCTTTCCTTCTCAGACACTGACATAAACGCGCCGAAATCAATGAGAAGCAAAATTCCTGAACACGGTGAAAAGTCAGCAGAGGACAGTGGAGATAAGGATTACAGAACTTTTCTAAAAAGAATCTTCCGGAGTGTCCCCCTGGTGGGAGCAAGTTCCTTTCACTGCATGGTCTTAAGAGTGAAACCGAACACCTCGGCGGCGCGAACAGGCTTATTATGATGCAGAGAACCCCGGGACTCTCGAGACTCTCACCACAGCGGTGGGCGCCCAGAAAGGCAGCTGTGGATGATGGACCCGAAGCACTGTGCAGCCTCTAGGAGTCTTCTCGACTTGAGTGGGTACCCGGCTACGTCGCAGGTAAAGGTTATTCCTTATAATCAACCCCCCACACACACACACACACAAAGCCTAGCGATGCTCTCAATCCGCCGATCTCCAGGCTCGTGAGAGAAACTCAGGCTCGGTAGGTTACTGGGCTGCAGACCTTCCGCCCTCTCCCTCGCAGCCCACCTTTCTCCAGCGTCTCCAGCTTTCTCAAAACACTAAAATTGGAGTCCCAGGGCCACGCGAGTCACATACCGCGAGCTCGTCACGTGACACGATTTCGGTCCGCAAGTGGGCGGGGCCCGATTGGGAGGTGGGGCCCGACCCTAACGTCATCAACTCGCGCGGCCTGGAGAGCTGAGCCGGGAATACTACGGCGACGCCTCCAGAGCCCCTGGGCCTGGGCGGCGGCGCTCTGCCCCGGCTGAGCCCACTGCTGGCCCCGCGGCCACCCCATCTCCTCTGGCGGGGCCGGTCCCCGCTGGCTGGGTGGCCCGGAACAGAGGTGAGTTACGGGGAGCTGGTGTGAGCCAGCCCTTTCTTTCCTACCGTCAGCTCCCTCTTGTGGCCCCGCCCCCACCCTTCGGCTCCCTGCTGTGTGGAATTGGGTTGAGGCTGACAAGCATCTATTCTGGAAGGTCCCTTCTCCACTGTCCTCTGCGCTGCGCCCCTCCTATCCATCTGTCCCGCGACGCTAGCTGTAAACTTGGTGCTGTTTCCTAGTTTGCAGTTGAGCCTTTTAGAATTTGGTACCCCTCTTCCACCTCTGATCTTTGGTGGAACACTTCTATTCAGATGTTATCTTAAGTTAGAGAACAGATCCCTTCCGAAAGCTGAGAGGGAAAGGTCTCAATGACTGCTAGATGAGACAGGACAAAGACCATTCTGCACTGAGATGACTCTTTTTTGCCATACATTCTAAAGCCCTGGCACAGAGAGCTCTGTGGTAGCGCCCCAGAAAATCTTCACAGTCAGTGAACATTTCTTTAGACCTTTCTTGCACCCTCAGAGCTGACATAAGAAATTTTTTTTTGAAAACATAAGCTTTGCTGAATCCCTTCTTTTCCTGTAAAATGGATCTTGCTGAGTTGTTGGAGAAATGTCTAGAGTATTTATAGAGTAACGTGGTAACTGTAAACAGAACTAGAGGAGAATGTAGCCTGTTGTTTTCATATTCAAAAATTATAACTGAGTAATGGACTTTTGGGTTTTTTTTTTTTTTTTGAGACAGGGATTTTGCCGTACAGTCCAAGCTGCTCTCAATTCGCAGCAGTCATCCTACCTCAGTATCCCAAGACCACTGTTCTTTTATTGACTCGTCTCAGAATGTTTTGAATTTAAAATAAAAAACTTATCTTAATAACTACCTACCTTATCTTAATAACTGCCTAACTATCTTAATAACCACCATTTCATTCCACAGAAATTGTTCCTTTTTTTTTGGTCTTTTTAAGACATGGTCTTGCTGTGCAGTTAAGATTGCTTTGAACCTTGGATTCACTTTGTTCCTGCCTCAGCCTCCTGAGTGCTGGAATTACAGGTCTGCACTACCATGCCTGGCAGAAATTGTTTCTTGATGTCTACTGGAGATTGGTTCTAGAACCTCTGCCCCTACCATACCAAAATCTCTGTATGCTGATGTTCTTTACATAAAATAGCATATGTATATAACCTATGCACATATCTCATATACTATAACTATCTCTAGATTATTATCCAATACAATTTAAATTCTATGTGAATAGTTGTCAAAGTGTTGTTTAGTGAAAAAGGTATGTCTTGCTAGGTTGGCCAGGCAAGGATTAAACTTGTAATCCTATTGCCCCTGCCTTCCAGAGCACTGAGATTACTGCTGTGAGGGGCTGGGGATTTAGCTCAGCGGCATAAGCACTTGCCTTGCAAGTGTGCAGTCGTGAGTTTGATCCCTGGTACCGATAAAAATGAAAAAGACAAAAAAAAAAAAGAGATTACTGCTGTGTGTCACCACCTCCTGCAGAAGAGGTAACTTTCGCTTAGAAAGTTAATGTTGAGGTCGTGGTGGTGATTCTCTTTGGATCTGGGGAAGCCTCTTCATTCCTGAATTAGTAAAGCTAATTAAGGATGTTCAGTTCCCACTTTATTCACAAGTGCTCTTTATTTTATTCTCTTGTAGTTGCAGAATCCAAAGATCCCTTTTGTTCTTCCTCCATATTGCTTGATGGGAGGCATTATGGCCCCCAAAGACATCATGACAAATACCCATGCTAAATCCATCCTCAACTCAATGAACTCACTCAGAAAGAGCAATACCCTCTGTGATGTGACGCTGAGAGTAGAGCAGAAAGACTTTCCTGCCCATCGGATTGTGCTGGCTGCCTGCAGTGACTACTTTTGTGCCATGTTCACTAGTGAGGTACGTGGGGAGTTGTCGCTACACAAGTGAGTTGATGTTCAGCCTGGCCTGGAGGCCCCCATATAGATTAGGCTGGTCTTAAACTCTAAATACTCCTGGATGATAGGAGTATGCCATCACTTCCAGCTGGATTTTATTTATTATTTTCAAATTTGTCTTCCAGTTTTTGTCTAAAGTATCAGAGGGTTAGGGAGGGAGGAAGAAAGGAAAGAAGTGAGGAAATCAGTCCTCATCAAATCCTTCTACCAATATATGAAGACACTGCCTGCAGTTTCAGCAGTTGTAAGACTGAAATGAAGCAGAAAGATCCTGAGTTTGAGACCAGCCTGGACTGTATAGTGATCCTGTCTCAAAAATCAGTCCTACATAAACACACATGTAAAGAAAATCAGATTTCATTCTCTCAGCATCAGATTCAGAGTAGTTTTGATGAGAGGAAGAGGAGAATTTAATGAATGGCTATGGAAATGTAAAGGGTGTAATTTTTTTTTTGTTTTTGAGAGGATCTTGCTATACAGTTCAGGCTGGCTTTGAACTATGTAGCCCAGGCTGGCCTCAAACTTCTGGCAGTCCTCCAGCCTCAGCCTCCCCTGCTGGGATTACAGTAATATGCCCCATACCTGCTATAAAGAGTATAATTTGGAAAAAGCACACTAACAGGAGTATAAACTATTTTTTTTAATTTTAAGGAGAAAAAGAAAAAAAAAACAGAAAAAGGGTACAAGTTATACAGAATTTCAAAAAAAAATGAACAGTAGGAAATCACTAGTTAATAGATTACATATTGTTATCTTAGAAATACTTTTCAAGTTACAAACAGGAGTATAAACTATTAACAAAGGAAATTAGGAAAACCTTGGCTTAACAAGAAAAAGGGTACTGTTTACAGAAGACTAATGGTCTAGGGGTGTAGCTCAGTAATAAAGTGCTTGCCTTGCCTAGCAGGTGCAAGGCTCAGGTTCAGTCACCAGCACCACAAAAAAAGAAGCCAAAGGAGAAAGGGAGAAAGAAATACTAGCCAAGTGTGGTGGCACACATCTTTAATCCTAACCACCTGGGAGACTGAGGCAGGAAATGTGAGATCAAGGCCAACCTGGGCTGCTTAGTAGCTACCTGGAAAAACCTCTGAGATGTAAAGTAAGTCAGTCAAATATAATATGAGATATTCTAAGAAAGCTGAACAGAAGAGAACACTGTGGATTTTTTGTTTTTGTTTTATGAGGTGCTGGGGCTTTGCACATTGCAGGCAAATGCTCTATTTCTGAGCTATACCACAACCTTTATATTTTGGTTTAGGTTTTTTGAAACAGGTTTGCATGTAGTCCGGCTGGCCTTGAATTCATGATCCTCCTGTCTCCGCTTCCTGAGTGCTGGGATTATAGATGTACACCTATACTTAGACATAAGCCTGAAATGTTTCATTATGGTAACACTTTGAGGGAACATTTACTGGAGATCAACCCCAGGGCCTTCACACTGAGCTGTGTTCCCACTTTCTTTTTCATTTATTTGTTTTGGTTGACTGTTTTGCTTTATAGTTCAGGCTGGCCCAAGTGCTTAGATGAGATTATAAGTGTATGCCACCATGCCCAGCTCTGTAGTCTTTTTTTATCTTTTTTATTTTGAGGTGCGTCTCACTGAGTTGCTAAATTGCTCAAGCTGGGCTCTACCTTTGCTCCTCCTGCTTCAGTCTCTCAGAGTGCTGGGACTGTAAGTGTGCAGGACCATATCTGGCTATGACAAGACTTCTTAAAAAGGTTTTCTAAATCAAATATGGTGGCACATGGCTGTAACCCCAGCACTTGAAAGCCTGAAGCAGGAGGATAACCACAAGTTTGAGGCCAGCCTGAACTATGTAGCAAGACCCTGTCTCAAAAAGAAAAGTTTTTCTTACCACCAGTACTTAATTTAGTTAGTCCGTCACCTTAGTGAAGATGTTGCTGCTGGGTCTGAGTGGGATTAGTAGTATCATAATAATGATAATAACTACTCTTGTGGACAGGCTACTGTGCTACATGTTTATCTTGCTCTAGATATAGGTATTATCATCTCCTTTTACAAGTGAAGGATATGTTACATGACTTGTCCCAAACCATATGACATTGAAATAATAGAGGTAGGATTTATTTATTTATTGTCTTTTTGAGAAAAGTTTTCAAGGCTGGCCTTGAACTCACTTGGTAGCCCAGGCTGGCCTCAAACTCACAGTGATCCTCCTGTCTCAGCCTCTTGCATGCTGGGATTACAAATGTGCACCACCATGCCCGGCTGGTAGAGGTAGGATTTAATTCTGTAACTTCTGAGTCCAAAGCCCAGTTCTGGACTTCTGTGTCTCAGCTGCTGTAATACAGATTTTTATATTGCGCAATCTAGCTTTAAAGCCATTAAGGTTTATGGTGCTGTCAGACAATGTTCAGTCACATAGACATGTAGGAAAAACAGAAATCTGACAGGTCATTTCAGCTAAGCCAGACTAACTTTCAAGTGATTTTTGTCTGATATAACATTACAGATCCTGGAGGCCAGGGATATAGCTCAGTGGCACAGTGCTTACCTGGCAAGTACAGGATCGTGAGTAGATCCCAGTCCTATACAGTTCTCCCTGATACCCTCTCAAGAGCATCAGAAATAGTTGGCATTTAGCTGGGTAAAGAGAATGTTACCCAGCAGCTGCTAAGCAGGGAAATGACTGCGGGCTGCTAGTTACATATTTATTGTGCATCCTGTTTTTTGGCATGTTGAAGAAAATTTACAGTTCTTTTTTCATTTAGAAATTAGTAAGAAATTTTACAAAAGCATTATTTTTCTCATCAGTACTTTTTTTTTTTTTTTTTTTTTTTTTTAAAACAGGGTCTCACTGTGTAGGTCAGGTTGACCTTGAATTTACAATGATCCTCCAACCTCAGCCTCTCAAGTGCTGGATATAAGCCACCACAACTGGCTATTTCTTTCTTCAAAAAGTGCTACCATGGGGGTTAGGATTTAGCTCAGTAGCATAAGTGCCTGCCTTGCCTTGGTCGTGAGTTTGATCTCTGGCACCAATAAAAAACTAAAACTAAAAAATAAATAAATGAATAAAAACTACTACCAGACAAGAAAATGCCATATGGTTCTGTCTTTACTTTTAAGAGTGACCAGTTTAAGAGAAATGAGTCCAGACCTGGGTTCTAGGCTTAGTTCTTTTAGTAATTCTGTGTGAACTTTGGCAGTCATCTTATTTCACTGGGAGGATCTGTAAAATGAAATGGTTCTTCATACTCTTCTAGCCCTGAAACACTCCTTAAGTGCCCACCTAAGAAATCACAGGACCGGGCCTGGGGATTTAGCTCAGTGGCACAAGCGCCTGCCTTACAAGCAGGCAGTCATGAGTTTGATCCCTAGTACCAATAAAAAAAAAGAAATCACAGGACCATGGGCAGGGCCCTGGGTTTTACCTAGCTTTTAGTAACTAAGTGACCCTGATCAAGTCACAAAACTACTTTAGCTTTAGATCTTCTGTCTCTTAAGTGGCAGACATATCAAACTTAACTGCTTTACTGAGTGCTGTGAGAATCAGATAAAATAATAGTAAATGAAAAGCATATGGACTGATTGTAAATCAAAACTACAAATATAAATAGATTCCTACATAAATGAAATCATTTCCATAATTGAACAATTTGAGTAATAGGAATGTATCTCATATATTGAACAAGAAACTTCTGGAATGCTTGTATTCTTAGTAATTACTGAATGCATTTAATCTTTTGTGATAGTACTTGTTTTTAAATATCTGCGTTTAGTGTTAATAAACCTAATATATTTTCCCCAAATAATGTACTAGTAACTTTTTTTTTTTTTTTGTTACCGGTACCAGGGATCAAACTCATGACTATGTGCTTGCAAAGCAGGCGCTTATGCCGCTAAGCTAAATCCCCAGCCGCATTAGTAATGTTTTTTAACATTAGGATTTGATTTGGGTTTGACTTTGGTAAAGAATCTTTCATGATTACTGTCTAGGCTGACAGATATCAAAACCATTTAGTTCACAAAGGAAGTGTGTTGGGAGTTTTGTGAATAATATGAATTTTTAAACTAAAGTTTAGTAAACTTTTCATAAGGGATTCGCTTTCAGTTAGTTCACTGTTCTGTAATGTTGAAGTTGTCTACTTTTTAAAATTTTTTTTATTTTTTTGAGATAGGATCTCACTGGGTAGTTTATCCCCATCTTGAATTCCTTATGTAACCAGGGCTGGCCTCAAACTTGGAGACCCTCCTGTCTTAGTTCCTAAATGCTCGGAGTATAGTTATGTACCATCATGCTTAGCTTAAGATTTCCACTCTTTTTTATTTTTATTTTTTTTTTAGGATTTCCACTCTTAATTAAGCCAGTTTCTGTGATTATGTCGCTTCATTAGTATTCATTATTTAAAGAACCCCAAAATGGAGTTAACCTACTATTTTGAAACTTGTATATGTTTGTGCACATGTGCACTGGGAATCAAACCCAGGTCTTTGTACCTGCTAGACAAGCATTCTACCACAAGCTACATCCCCAGTGACCTAGTGTTTTAAAAAACTATCAAACAGCTCAATTTTATTCAGTGTTGAAGAAGAAAGCTTTTTACAGTGATCTGCCTGTTCCTTTTGGTTGTCACGCAGTGTAATGTAAGGGCAGATGATAGGAAATTGGTAATCCTGGAGGATGTGCAGCTATAACCCATAGACTCGTTTATGAGAATTAAATTTGTTTTAAGTTGTTTTATCTTACAAGTTCAGGGAAACTAGTTGTATGTTTGTGGAACGTTTACATTATATTTCTGTGTTGGTTTTAAGATAGAATCAAGACTTTAAATTATTATTGAAATTAATTTTCTAATTCTGTGTATGCCTGGGAGTACAAATAACTGCCTACTCCATTTTAAAAGTTCCATATTTGAGGGGTGTACTGGGGATTGAACCTAAGGCCTTCACAATGAACTACTCTAGCCCTTTTATATTTTGAGACAAGGACTCTAAGTAAGTGCTCAATTACCCAGACTGGGCTCAAACTTGGGATTCTTTTGCCTCAGACTCCCAGAATGCTGGGATTATAGCAGTGCACCACCCCACCCAATTTAAAGTATAATATTTTGGAGGATGCACTTTTTAAAAAAATCTGAATAAAAATAATTAGAGATAATACTCTTTTATAAAATGTCTTCTCCCCTTTCCTACTGTCAGCCGCTTCACCTCCTAGGAGGAGAAAACAACTTAACCTACAGGGGTGTGGGTCTGAGAAGTGGACCTGGGCAGGGGAGTGGGCTGTGGACTGCAGGAACACAGCCAGACACACTGGTGATCTTTATAGCCCTCCTTGTCATGGCCCAGACAGGTTGCAGGGACAGTGCTGTCTCCTGTGGGTACCAAATGCTCTGAGGCAATAGGATTTTGGTTTTGTTTTCATTCTTCCTTTTCTCTTTTAAAAGAAAAGGCAAAGGGCCATGAGACTCCTGGTGGTGGGATTTCTTTGGATGTAGCATATGGAAGAGAATTTTTATATGCAATTTTATGGATTACTTTATAACATATGATTTAGTCTGATAAAGAAAGGAGGGACTCCCAGGAAAACTGCCTGAACTATAACTACTATTCATTAATACCTATGGAATTTCAGCTTTCAGAGAAAGGGAAACCTTATGTTGATATCCAAGGTTTAACTGCCTCTACCATGGAAATCCTATTGGACTTTGTGTACACAGAAACAGTACATGTGACCGTGGAGAATGTGCAAGAACTGCTCCCTGCAGCCTGTCTGCTTCAGCTGAAAGGTACAGACATTAAAAATTGCTGTTGTTCATGACAAATTACTCCTGGGAATGTTTAAAATTGATGTCAGCTCCATCATGAAATTTAGCAAGACTAGACACTTAAGTTTATGGTCTGTGGCTTTGGAATTTTTGAGCAACTAAAAAAAGGGATGTTGAGAGATGTCATTGTCAATACAAGGGAACTGTCAAAATATGAGTATTTAGCTCTGTAAAAGACCATGTACATCTTTTCTGTTTTTACAAAAGTGAAAGAATGAATGGTATATGTATTTTTCTTTCTTATAATATTGCTGTAAAGAACTGAAAGAGGGCCAGGGATTTAGCTCAGTGGCATAAATGCCTAGCTGGCAAGCACGAGGTCATGAGTTCAATTCCCAGTACCAAAAAAGAAAAGAAAAGAAACCCATAGTGTTCCTTGCCTACATGGATGCCATTCATCTGTCTGGCCAGCAGATAGCCAGAGGTATACAGAGGCTCAGCCTCCCATGTATCGGGAATTATAGGTGTGTACCACCACACTCAGTTTGTTTTGTTTTTGTGTGTACATAATTGAAACATTTTCTACTTTCAGTGCAAGATTGAAATAAGTTTATACCCTGAATATTTTTTATGTATATATGGTGCTAGGGGTTGAACCCTGGATGAATGTTGTACCCCTGAGCTCCATCCCAGCCCCTACTCTGAACTTCTCAGTTAGACAAATATGAGACCATTCATAGTATCTTCTGTATTTTCTTCACTGAAATTTTTTAGTAGGTTTTGATGTACAGTAGAAAAACAGATATGTTGTGCCAAATTAGTAATTGGTTTTATAGTTTGGTTCCCAAGAGTTTTAGTTTTTGATTAATTAATTGTACCAGTGTCCTTGGAAGCAGTTCATTTTGTCATACTCATTTTAAAGATGAAGCAGAGACAAATATGAGTTTTATTGAAAGTGATACAGTGCATAAGATAGCAATAGCATTCGATTTCCTTTAGGATAAAATTTCTAATTTTAGTGCTAGGCGTGGTATGCATTTGTAATCCCATCACTCAGAAGGCTGAGGCAGGAAGATTACTTGAAGTTCAAGGCCAGCCTGAACTGCATAGTGAAATCGTATCTCAAAAAGACTAAATAGATAAATAATGCATTTTTTAAAAAATTATAATTTTATAACCAAGTGTAGTGGCTCACTTCTGTAATATCAGTATGCTGGGAAGGCTGGGGCAGGAGGATTTGAAGCTGCAGGTTTAAGTCTAGTTTGGTCAATTTAGTGTCTTAGCGAGACCCTTTTTCAAAATAAAAGTACTTTAGAGATTTGGAGATGTAGCTCAATGCAAAAGTGCTGGACTCAAACTCCAGTACTGCCCCACCCCCACCCCCCGCAATCTGTCTTATGTGTTGAGCCAGTGTATAACACATAGAGAAGATGCTGAGATTCAAGACTATGCAACAAATTTACCCCTGGCCAAGTATCTTGAATTAAATTCACTTTTTGTGTTTTTCCTAGGTGTGAAGCAAGCCTGCTGTGAATTCCTAGAAAGCCAGCTGGACCCTTCTAATTGCCTGGGTATCAGGGATTTTGCTGAAACTCACAACTGTGTTGACTTGATGCAGGCGGCTGAGGTTTTTAGCCAGAAGCATTTTCCTGAAGTGGTACAGCATGAAGAATTCATTCTTCTAAGTCAAGGAGAGGTGGAGAAGCTAATCAAGTGTGATGAAATTCAGGTACAGTTTAGGCTTGGTGTTCTGGTTTTTTTAAAACTGGGCCATTGTGAATATGATTCCCAGCACCCAAACAAACAAATAATAACAACAACTGAGCCATTAAAAACTTGCAAAGTAAGATAGAGTTACTGTTTCTGTATCAGGGCTTTGTAATGAATTGTCCATATTGACATCAAAGCTTTCAGTGTATTTGTATCTTTATGGAGTTTGCCACTTTCTTCCATTAAACATATGATCTCAATATTTGAGAATCAGAGTGTAGAATAAGCAGAAATTGGAAGTAAATTCTTCCAAACTAATGTGTTGCACATTCACTCATTTGAGAAAATATTTTGAAAATGTATACGATGTAGCAATCACTGTGCTGGGTGCTGTGGATCCAAAACTCAGTGAGATACAATTCTTACTTTCAGAAACTTGTCTGTTTATCTATCTGTATTAAAGAATAATGGGCCTATACAAAGCAAGGATGTTAATTACATAAAAGAAAGAAAACTTTTCCCCAAAGTGGATCAAAAAGGAAGAGACAAGTTTGCTAGTGAAGATCTGCATAAACATGAACCAGATTATAACAGTCTCTTGGAGGTGCAGGAGGATGGACTCAACGTTATAGAGCAGGGCTTCACTACTCTAAAAGACGGAGAGGTAAAACCACCGCACCGGGCAGCTCTTCAGTGACCAAACACTGCCGAATCTTAGTCTGAATTCTGGGGGTGTTTTTTTTTTTCCTTTTTGTGTATTTTCAGTTCTAATTCTGAATCAGAGTAACAGTATGTTAGCAGAGTTTTGTATATACATCTGTGTTATTAGGCTGAGAATTAGGATTGAAAAAATCCATTATAGGACTAACAGATATTTTTGGAGCCCATCGCATTAAATTCCTATGATTTGGTTCTTTAATTTAGTTGGTAGTTTCTGGAAAAATATCTAGTAGAACCAAGTGAGAGAATAAATGTACCTGTTAGATTCATTTCCCCCCAGTTAGGAGATACTTGATTATTGAGACAAGCTAAGAGTTCATTTTTGTTTTCTCCTCCTTACTCTTCTCTGATGATCAGAGGAAAATAGATTTTAAGTTAGTGTATTCTCAGAAGCTAGTGGCACCTCCACAGGTATCTTAGTTTAAACAAAAGATTTATGGGAAGGAATCAAATTTTGATTAAAATTGCAGTAGGAAGAATTTGCTGCTTGCAGAGGTTGTATAATATACTTGTAGGCCAAATGATCACTCCCTGATTTATTTTGTTAGAACTGGGATTTTTATGTAGTATAGTAAGTTTTAAATATACTTATTACCACATTTTAGACCAATTTTCTTTGTATTTTTTCCTAGTGATTTCTGAGGCAAAGCTCATTAGGGTACATTAGTGGCATAATTTTTCAGTGAGAAAAGATTTATTTCCCCACTTGACATTCATTTCCCCATATCAGCCCAGAGCGGCTGCTGTAACAATTGACTGCTGAATCAAGAATTTGATAAAGCTTAGTTGTTGCCCTCAGGATGCAGGACATGCCGCCATGCCAGTGAAAGCCAAACCCATATTCTTTAGATTTGGAAATTGACAATCCACTGGAATATCTTGGTTTTTCTTACTCATGTATTAGAAAATATGTTGAATACAATGAGTACTACAGACCTGAAATTCTCTGCATATGATAATAAAATAGCCAATATTTACTCAGCATTTACTTTCTGAGTTTCTTATTTTGTTTTTGTTTTTCGGGTTTTTGAGACAGTCTTGCTGTGTAGTTTAGGCTGGCCTAGTTGGCCTTGATCTTGAGGTGATCCTCTATTCTCAGCTTCCCCAGTGCTGGGATTATAGGCATGTTCTACAATGACTGGCTTCAGTATTTACTCTTGGTTCTTATACCAGATGTTTATTGAGTTCTTACTGTGTCCAGGACAGCTCTATGTGCTGGGATCTAGGTATGAACAGGACAGACACCAGTCCCTTTGCCTCAGAGCTTCCATTCTAAATTTGATCTTATTTCTCATATTTTCAGAGAAAGGAACCAAAGCCGAGAGGTTAACTATGATACCACAGCCAGCTGATGTGGACAGGATTCAGATCCAGGCATTCTCCTCTAGTCTGTTTCCTTAACCACTAGATTCTGAACTCCTCGTGGGGTCAGCTTGCTTCTAATTGTCCCCATCAGGAAGCAATTATTGAAATCACTTGTTTTAGGATTGTATAAGACTTTTGGAATAAAGAAACAAAGAGCAAATAACTAATCATATCCAGGAGCTAAAATGAACAGTTGGAGAGCTCATTGGTATACTTTTCCTTATACTGTATGTGTCAAGATAATGCTTTGATTTTTATCTGAAAGGACAGCAAATGAGTGTTTTTTCTGTTCTTTTTTCTGTTCCATATATCAGCCAGATATAGGAACCAGATGTCTGACTCCCAGTGGCCAACACTTCCTTTTATTAAGTTAAACAATAATATTTAACTAATATGTTACACACTTCCCACTGTTTTAAGACAGTATGGGTTTGCTAGTCAAATTTGGGTCTGGTCTTGGCCTGTGATGTGTGTTACATAACTGTTAACCTTCCATTTCTTCTTCTATAAAATACAGACAAGTAGCTGGGGATTTAGCTCAGTAGCATCAGTGCCTGCCTTGCAAGCAGGCAGTTGTGAGTTCAATCCCCATTACCGATAAAAAAGAAAAAGACAAAAAAAAAAAAAAAAATACAAGTATTAGTACTTAATACATAGGGCTGTTCTGAGAATTAAATGAAAATACCAACATGAGTGAACATGAGAGGAATCTTTGTGAAAATGAATTATGGAAAAAATATTTTTCTCCATAGTTACACATTAATGTTGGAGGTCCTCCCCCTATTTCATTTTAGCTGTTTTTCCTCTATGGTAATTTGTCTTAAGTAAAGTAAGTTCTGTTCACTCAATTGATATATATAATTTAAACCTAGGATGTACCAGAGTATAATATATATTTGCTTAAAACTTTTTACCAGTCATTCTCTTAATAAGAACAAAAATGTTTCAAATCATGGACACCCCTCTGCACTGTCCATTGCATTGAATACTTTAGCAGCTGGATTAAGTCAACCTCCCATTTAAAAGTATTTCTCTAGTACATCTCTTTCTTTATCATAAGCACTTACCACTACTGTAGTTTTAATATCATCACATTTTCCAGACTGTGCCAGAGTAACATCTAGCTGATTGTTGTGTTCTCAAGCCCTTCTAAAATGTTCTATGCATGGTAGCTAGGGTAATCTTTGCAAAACACTAATATGGCCACATCGTGATTTATATCTAGATGTCCCCCAAAGCCTCATGTGTTCATAGGTGTGGCTTCGGGGAAGTGGTTGGATCATGGATCATTGGATTAGTCCACTGATAAGTTCATAGCTAAATCAGATTTTCGGAGGTGAAGCCTAGTCAGAGGAGGTAGGTCACTGTGGGTGTGGCCTAAAAGTGTCTCTCTCTCTCCTCTTCCTTTTCCCTTGAGAGATCTGCTGCTTGCTGGCATATTGTAAACTCTTTGTCCTCTATCGTGCCACCCTGCCTTGGAGCTAGCCAACTGTGGACTAAAACCTCTACAAACTGTGTGCCAAAATATACCTTTCCTCTTTAGTTGTGGGTGTCGAGTATTGTCTCAATAAGAAAAAAGTAACTAAAACAGGTCATAGTAATAGTCTCTTTGAAATCTTTTAGTGATTTCTTCTTTTTTTTTTTTCCTTTTTACTGGTACCGGGGATTGAACTCACGACCACCTGCTTGCAAGGCAGGTGCTTATGCTGCTGAGCTAAATCTCCAGCCCCTCTTTTAGTGATTTCTTGTTACTAGTATAAAATACACTTTCCTAATGCCTCTTCTTTACCTCTTCAGCTTTAGGATAATGTTGTCCAGTAGAAAATTCAGTGAAGGGGCTGGGGATTTAGCTCAGCAGCATAAGCACCTGCCTTGCAAACAGGCAGTCGTGAGTTCAATCCCTGGTAACGATAAAAACGAAAAGAAAAAAAAAAAAGAAAATTCAGTGAAGATGGAAATGATTTGTACTGTCCAGCTTGATAGCCACTATCCACATTACTGTTAAGCACTTGAAATGTGACTTTTTGGGGTGAGGTTGAGACAGAGTCTCTTGTATAGTCCGCCTGGCCTCAAATTTACAGTGGTCCTCTGCCTCAGCCTCTGTAGTACTGGGATTACAGGCGTGCGCCACTACACCCAGCTGAAATGTGGCTATTATGACTGAGAAGCTAAATGTTTTAGTTAATTTTAGTTAATATAAATGTAAATAGCCACACATGGCTGATGGCTGCCCTATGGAACTGTGCAGCTAGTCTAGTGCTTCCAGATATGCTCTTCTGTCTACTTGAAATAGTCACCATGGTTCTCTGCTACTCATTCCTCAGCTGTCAGGTTTTTTTTGCATCTTCAGGGAGCCCTTCCCTGACTCATCAGTGTAAATCAGGAACTCCCATGTTGTTTTGTCTCATATTCCCACAACCCTTCTTAAATAGTATATAATAACAAAGAGATTGTTCAGTTTCCCAGTTAAATCCCTTGCCAGGGATTTAGCTCAGCAGTATAAGCACCTGTGGGCAAGCACAAGGTCATGATTTCGATCCCTGGTATCAAAAAAAAAGTTGCCTCCTCACATAACAAGAATCTTATCTGATTTTTTCATCACAGTATAATTAGCTTTCTCCTCTCCTTACTCATGCTGGTTTTTTTTTTTTTTTCTTTGCTAACCCAAAATGTTTCCAACTTTATTAAAGGTACTGTGCATAAACAATCATGATATTTCAAGCAAGACTTGGGCACATAGTTGTTAACTGTATACAACTTTCAGATCCTTTCTTAGATGGACTAGCAAAAATCAGCCACTATAAATGAAGTCTTCATTTGATGCTCTGAGCAGGGAACATTAAGAGTGAGAGTTGATATTTCACATTTGGTACTTGCTTAGCAACTTTTCACAAGCCCACCTTGAGTTTCAAGAAATGAAATAAAAATGACAGAATTATTAGTCTGAAGATCCACAGTTTAGTAAAGGAAATCATTGGTCTTGTGGGACACCATCTCAATGTCACTGGCAAGTCCAGATTGCCTGACACATTGGTAACATCAGTTTGTGAGAGTCAGGTCCCAGTAGGTTTCTGAACTTAAGGAAGTTAAGTCTGCTGATGGCAGAGAAGGAAAGGTGGACATAGAATGAACTGGGAGTTTTCCCACACCACAAAGGATTTATGCCAAGGTGGCCACGTATCAACATCAAGGAGTCCCTTTTCCTGGGAGCCAAGAGGAAGTCTCAAAACTCACAGGGAAAAGTTTGTTTCCCACATCAGTCCAGGCTTGGAGACATTTAACTAGCGATTTAAGCTCCTTCCCCTCCAAAACAAGCATGCCAAGGAAGTATTTTATGTGCTAACAACATAGCTTAAAAGTACAACAAAATTCTGCATTTTTATAAAACTTGATAAAAAAATAAACAGTATTTCTAACTGTACAGTCACCAGAGTACCCAGTTATCAAAAATACACATACTTCACTTGGCATCTGCAGCACTTCTGCTTTCTGCATGGTCTGCCTGAGCCGCTGTTTTCTGCAGGGTCATCGTCTCCTTGCCAGTGTCAGCATTACCCTTCTTCCCTCCTGGTACCTTTTTCTCCCTTCTTTGCAGGAGCCTTTTTAGCTTGGGCTCTAGCTTTGGAGCAGCTGGTTTAGCAGATAGCCTTGTGGATCTCTGTGGTTCACCCTCACCTTGGTTTATCTCCTTTACCGTTCCCTTCAGCCTTTCTCTCAGGCATAATGGTGATGGCAACAGAACACAGGCACTAGATGTGGAATACAGTAGCATGCAACTTTGGTCGGTCCAAAGGTGGTTCTGTTTCATACTGCTCTTCATGTTGGGGTTAAACCCAGAGCCGTGTGCTAGGCAGGTGCCCTGCCACTGATACCAGAAATTCAGGACTGGAAAAATTTCTGAAGGCTAACATGATTCTAGTGGCTTATTAAGTACTGAATTTTCTTGTTTGTTTTCAGGTAAGCTGATGATAATTCTTTTTGTATGTCTGAAAAGAGGCTAAAAAGAGGAAGATGAGAATGATGGTGGTGGGCAATAGGCAGCAAAAAGACGAAAGTAAACTTGGATATTTATTGAAATTGTGAGCCAGTTGGCACAGCAGAAATCCATGCTGTGTGATTATACATTCATAGGTGGATTCTGAAGAGCCAGTCTTCGAGGCTGTCATCAACTGGGTGAAGCATGCCAAGAAGGAGCGCGAAGAGTCCTTGCCTGACTTGCTGCAGTATGTAAGGATGCCCCTGCTGACCCCCAGGTACATTACAGATGTGATAGATACTGAGGTAAGTTATGCAGGACACTCAGGATCTAAAACCTTCACTAGCTCTTGCCACTTAGTACTGTTACTCATAATTGATCCATTTTTAGTCAGGCATAGTGGTGCACAACTGTAATCTCAGGCCATGGGAGGCTGGGCAGGAAGATCACTGTGAGTGAGATCAGAATGGGCTATGTAGTTCAAGCCAGTCTGAACTACCAGGCAAGACTCTAATAAAAGGGGAGGCGGAAAGAAAGATCATTTTCATAAAGGCATATAGTCTCCTGCTTTGCCTCTGGAAATGTCAGAGAGGACAGTGCTGGGTCTTTCCCACGCATATTTCTAAGAAAAAGTAACTTGACATGTGGAGCTCCTGGCACAAATGAAAATTGGTGGTTTTACTTAATTTTGTGTTTTGTTGTGTGCATATTTTTTTAACATGCCTTATATGTTTTAGTTAAGCAACATTAGATGATAAATTTTGTTTCCTTTGAGTGTAAATTGTTAAAAACTGTAAAGGGAGGGGGACAAAGATACTTCTTAGCAAACTTTTTTTTTTTTTTACCTTTAGGGAAGCCAGCAAAGACGTACTATAGTTTAATGCATTTTAGGATCAGCTTTGGTCAGTGTTAAGTTTACTAAAAACAGTATTTGTCCAATAATTTGGTGATATGTTTTCATGATTTTTACTATATTTGCACCTATGTTACCTGGGTCACACTTTGGAAGAACTGACTTCTAACACGTATGCAAGGCCCAGATCAGTGAATAAGTTTCTTTTGCGTTGAATCTTTGGGAGAGTTTAATACAAAAACAGTTTTCCAGTTACTCACCTTAGAAAAGTTGTGGGCTGGTTGGTTAGTGTCATATCTCAAACTAACTTTTACCTGTTGGTAATTTCTTTCTTACAACCATGCACATACTCCTTGAGTCTCTTTTCGTCATAGTTAGGGGCAGCCTCTGGAGCCAGAATTAAGCAACTGAAATCCCAAATCCACTACTTACTGTGTGAGACTTAGGCAGATTACAGAGATGGGGTGTAAAGAAACAACAGAAGACTGAAATAACATGGATCTAATGTAGCCAAGCTGTTAATGACCTTTAAGCCTAAAAGGCCATGGTCCAGGAGTGGGTACCAAAACCTGGAAGAAAAGCCACTTAGAGTTGCTGCTTCAAGAGGATCCTCGACATTTGGTCAGCCCATTCCCAACAAAGCCAGAGCCCATGAGAGCTGTTGTAGTTCATTCGGCCAGTCTTGGAGCTGGAGAGCAAGTTGAAGGAGGATATGAAGAACCCAGGGAAGCAGACACCAGCATAGCCATTGACAACGCTGTGAACCTTGGGGAATTATTCCAGAGAAGACATTCCTCCCTGTAACACCGGAAAACAATGGAGGCCCTAAACCCTTCCCTTAAAATATTTACTAGTTAGGCCAGGTTTGGTGCCGCACTTGGAAAATCACCAAGAGTTTGAGACCAGCCTGGGCTACCTAGTGAGGCCCTGTCTCAAAAAACACAACAAAAATTAGTAAGCCCCCAACTTACTGTTGTGAACGTTGACAGATGCAAATGGACATCACATTATAAAAATCTGGAGATGTGTGCAAATCACAGAAGTGGTTCATGTCTCTGCCTGACATTGTCTGCAGCAGTCTACAGTAGCACAGTGCTCAGTTAAAGACAGGATGTCTAGAAACAAGAGGAAAAGCAGCAATGATGTGGAGGGGCTGCTAGAAAGCACAAGCAACATACATTATTTTTGTCAAAGGTGTATAAGACTCAGACTAAGGAACAAATCTGACTTATAAATGTACTCCCAGAACAGAACTCACTCATAATTTGGGGATGTGTTGTACTAGCTATTATATACTTGTATCTACATAACCTCCAGATGTAGAGATTAATAAAAGTTATATATGAGTACAGAGGCAGATGGGAAATATATATATTTTTATATTGGATTGAACACAACACCTTGTACATGTTAAGCAGGCAATCTGTCACTTTGCTGTACCCCTATCCCCCTGTATCATTTGATTTGTGATCCGTGTACTATATTACCTATTTTAAAAATGGAAAAAAAAAAAAAAAAAAAAGCCAGGCATCGTGGCACACACCTGTAATCCAGGAAAATCACCATGAGTTTGAGACTAGCCTGGCTACATAGTGAATTCAGGGTCAGCCTGAACTACACAGTAAGACCCTGTTTCAATAAAACAGATAAGCATAAAAAAAAAAACCCAAAAAGGAAAAAAAATAAAGTTGGATATGGGGACAGATACATTTAATACTAGCATTCTAGGAGACTGAGGCAGGAGAGTTGCAGATTTCAACCCAGGTTGAGCAATTTAGCAACTTAGGGAGACTGTCTCCAAAAACAGATGGGGAGGCAGAGGATGTAGCCTCATGTGAAGGCCCTGAGTTCAATTCTTAGTACCTCAATTAAAAAAAATTAAAAATCACTTCTCGAAACCCACTGCATGGTTATTACCAGGTGTCATCCTGAAATCAGAGTCTCTAAAGACCCTGACTTTCTGTGTTAAATTAATTCTCTGTGCCACTTTACTCTTATAGTTTTAGAAAATGGCCCACTTGGCTCACTCCACTATCTGCTTATTTCAGCCTTTCATCCGCTGTAGCTTACAGTGCAGGGATCTGGTCGATGAAGCAAAGAAGTTTCATCTGAGGCCTGAACTTCGGAGTCAAATGCAGGGCCCACGGACAAGGGCTCGTCTAGGTAAGCTGGCATCCTGGCAGAAGAGGGGATTATTTTTCATCTGCTTCTTGCAGGTGCCATAATATAGTTGAAAAGAACTGTATTAATTTTATAAAAACTACAAAGACCTCATTTCAGCCCTGCTTTTAATCTTTTTTTTCTTTGTGGTACTGTGCTTCAGAGTTGAGGGCACCCTATGACTGAGCTAAATCTGAAACACGATGTCTGATGGTACTATTATTAACTTTCCCTGCATTGATCATAGCAGCCATTGATTATCATTGTCAGATTCATTGCCTCATTAGGGTTTTATCCATGTTTCTGGTCAGTTTTAAGGTGCTACATTTACCTTCTCAAGTGCAGGTAGCTTGTAAGATCACCTTGGTCTAAATGTCATCATAGTGATTGAACTGTCCAGAACTCTGCCAGACTCCACCCCATGAGTTTAGTAGAAAAGGATGCACAGAGAATTTCCTTTGATTTTGCTCTTTGATAAAAAACAGTTTATCAGAATAAAGCCTTAGAGGAAAGAAGAGAATATAAAAGTTGTCAAAATGGCTTCTGTAGAAAAATAAAAAAAAGAACTTTGTTTCAAAGCCTTGGTAGTTTTAATGAATTGGCAAGGAATGTGATACATAGCCGCATAAAAGAGATTTTGAAATATGTAACTTGGTTCCTAAGTCTTAGGCCACAATTTTTTTTATGACAAGGTTAGAGGAATTTCGCTTCCCATTACAAAAGATGGGGGCCAAACCCAAACCTCCCAATTTGGGTTTTCCAGGTTGAGAAAAGCGAAGAATGTCTCTGGTCTTAGGACCTGAGTTACTGTGTTAGTAGAGTCATCTAGCTAGGTTGAAATGGTATAGTGGTATATTCAAATTTACCTTTTAGAGTTTTAAGGTTGCCAGGAATTTACATTTCAAGGATTCAGGTTCTCAACATTCATGTTCCTGCAAGGCAGGCATGTGGTGGGTCTACTATTTCAGACTACTCTTGGGCATGAAAAACAGTATACCCAGGAACTGTTTCTGTGCGATGCTCCCCTGGGAGTAGTTACAAAGCCAGGGATCCTAAAGTTGCTTGTTCTTTTCTGCCTTTGTCTTTAGGAGCCAATGAAGTGCTCCTGGTGGTTGGGGGCTTTGGAAGCCAGCAGTCTCCCATCGACGTGGTTGAGAAATATGACCCCAAGACTCAGGAGTGGAGCTTTTTGCCAGTAAGTGACTGTGGAACCCATGGCAGAAAGCCTAAATGATCTCTCCCTGACTACTGATGTTAACTGATGCAGCCCTAAGTGCAGTGTAACACTGTTGTATACACAGTAGGTATTCAATTTTTCGAATGTTCAGATTAAAAGATTTGGCTTCAAAAATGTCACTGGCTATGTGTCAAACTCAGTTCACCTGGCTGCCATTGTTTAGGCACCAGCCTGCTCCATTGGTGTGCTATAATTTAACTCAGGGTTAAATTGAGTTGAGTATTCAGTTGAACTGAGAATTTTTTATCTCCCTCAGTACATCTTTATTTCCATACTCTTGAATAATAAGCATTTCTGAGAAAAAAAATAGAAATATTTTAGTCAACTTTCCTGTTAGGATCTATGAGTGCTGGCACTTTGATTACCATTGTGGAAATACTTTGGAGTAATATCAGTCTCTTAGCTCAATGCTTTATGAAAAGGAAAGGAGTCAGATATGGGTTATAGAAAGCTACAAAATCTGTCAGAAGCCTTGAAGTGAAGGAGATTTGCTGAAAGCTTGCATCTTTTAGAGGACACATAGCAAGCACTTCATGTAGCAGGCATCAGCTGTGAGGTACCTGTTGATTAACTGCTGCCTTGAGATTCAGGGAGACAGGTGAGGAAGCATAAAAATGAGCGGCTGCAGCCAGGCATGGTGGCACACAGCTATGATTCCAGCTCTCAGCTCAAACAGGAGAATCGCCATGAGCTTGAGGCCAGCCTGAACTGTATAGTGAGCTCTTGTTTAAAAACTAGCTGGAGGGGCTGGGGATTTAGCTCAGCGGCATAAGTGCCTGCCTTGCAAGCAGGCAGTCGTGAGTTCGATCTCCGGTACCAATAAAAAAAAGAAAAACTAGCTGGAAATAAGCTAAGGCCTAAAGTTGTATGATTGAAATTCCCTGTACCTCTTCCTTCCCAAATCCATAGAGCATCACTCGCAAGAGACGTTACGTGGCCTCAGTTTCCCTACATGACCGGATCTATGTAATTGGTGGCTATGATGGCCGTTCCCGCCTCAGTTCAGTGGAATGCCTGGACTACACAGCAGATGAGGATGGGGTCTGGTATTCTGTGGCCCCGATGAACGTCCGACGTGGCCTTGCTGGGGCTACCACCCTAGGAGGTAGGCTTAATGTTTCATCTTATTGTGGCTGGATCCATGTGTTTGCTTCTGGCAAGACCATGGAATATACAGGAGAAATCAGTACAGTCAAATAGTCTTTTTGTTTTTGGAAATAGCATGTTAAAAGAAGTTGTACAATATTTGTGGACATTTCAAAACTGAGTACAAGTTGGTAATTCATGTTCTGGTGTGCTGGATCTGAACCGGCTATATTTTTATAAACTCCCTTGCAGTCTTTGAACACTTTTAAGGATTTCATCTTACATCATTCTTTCTAAATATCCTTGACTGCTATGCTATCTTCTTATCTCTGAGATTTAATTGACTTAGCCCATTTAAAAAAATTTTTTTCTAAGCATAATCACATGCCTATAATCCCTACTACTTGGGAGGCTAAGGCAGGAGGATCACAGGTTTGAGGCCAGCTGGGGCAAACTGTTTTTTATGTTTGTATTTTCCCCCAGCCGTTTGAAGAACCTGTGGGGAACCTGTAGAGAAAAGAGTTCTTAGAAATCTCTCATTCTTTAATACTCTAATTTGTTCATTCTGAGCAGATATGATCTACGTCTCTGGAGGCTTTGATGGAAGCAGGCGCCATACCAGTATGGAGCGATATGACCCAAACATTGACCAGTGGAGTATGCTGGGAGACATGCAGACAGCGCGAGAGGGTGCTGGACTAGTAGTGGCCAGCGGGGTGATCTACTGCCTAGGTATTCAGGCTGGGATACAGACAAGGGATTCAATAGTTAGCAAACTCTGGGTGGGATCCCTTTTTACCAGAATTAAGTTCCTACGGACTTCAACAAAAACTCTGGTTTATCTCAATATATTTTCCATTTACTAGAATTATCTTACTGTTGTAAGCAAAAAGTTCTCTTTGGATTATTAGAACTCTGGGAGAACTGAAACTGGAATTAGAGCGCTTGGAGACCACCAGCTTGGAATGGGCCTAATGGTATACCTTTCTTTCTGGAACGATCTCTTCTTTGTCTTCCAGGAGGATATGATGGCTTGAATATCTTAAATTCAGTTGAAAAATATGATCCCCACACAGGACACTGGACTAATGTTACACCAATGGCCACCAAGCGTTCTGGTAAGACCAATGTGAGGGAGGGCACAGTAGACACAGTGCTATCACATCTTTCCATATGCAGTGGGCTAGCCATAGGACAGAGTAAACCAGAGATTTACTGTAAATATGAGTAAGATTCCAGTCTCCTCTTCCCCTCTGTTTTCCCTAATTAGGAGAAAGCCTAAATTTCTAACTATATTACAAATTTCAGGGCAAAAGTCTTATGTTATTCATTTTTTAAATTTCTGTGTTACCTTCCTGCATTCTAGACTACCTAATACAGTTTTGTGCCTATGTTATATATTAAGTGTCTGTTAAATAAAAATTAATGCATTGGATAGGAGATAGAAGAGCAGCTGTTCCCTTTCCCTAAGAGCTTCTTGAAGTGGACCTCTCAGGGTGTAGGACAGAAGACCCTGTGCTTTTCCATTCTACTTCCTCTGTATAGAAGTGACACCAGAACTGTAATCCTCGGTCCTCCTCCTCCTTTCACCTTTATTGCCACTTTGTTTTTTTTACTCCTTTATTTTCTTCTGAAGAGGGGTAAACTCTCAGCTTATGAAAATAAAAATAAAGGAGAGAGCCATTTCAACTCTTTATCATTTCGCTGCACTCAATGTTTAGGCCTGTATGGGAAAGTTCTGTATCCCTCATCTACTCTAGAATTTACCCATTAAGAACCATCTTTTCTTTCTGGAATTTATATCTTGGCCTTGGTACCATTCATTTGCTAATTCCCTTTTCTCCAGGTGCTGGAGTAGCCCTACTGAATGACCATATTTATGTGGTGGGGGGATTTGATGGCACAGCCCACCTTTCCTCTGTTGAGGCGTACAACATTCGTACTGATTCCTGGACAACTGTTACTAGTATGACCACTCCACGGTGCTATGTTGGAGCCACAGTGCTTCGGGGGAGACTGTATGCAATTGCAGGGTAAGGAATTAGAAAGTAAGGTAGTGTCATCATACATCTACGGCAAGAGTTTATGTGATCCAGTCCCTGTTTGTGGATGGAGACAGGATTTGAGTGGTGGAATATTAATGAAGAGCATACATGTAAAGAAATAAAAACTCATTTCTTTTTTTTTCCTCCCCTCCTTCCCAGATACGATGGCAATTCCTTGCTGAGTAGCATTGAGTGCTATGACCCTATCATTGACAGCTGGGAAGTGGTGACCTCCATGGGAACCCAGCGTTGTGACGCTGGTGTGTGTGTTCTCCGAGAGAAGTGACCATTGTTGGAGCACCATCCAGAGCTAACGACTAGTTCAAGGGATAGTTTGTGGGAAAATCAAGGATCCTATCCAGAATGTCTTACTCCACACTGTGTGTACAGAGTGATTACAGGCACCAGTGCAGTGCTGATTGTATTCATTTGACACATACTCCTGCTCACACTGGCTAAGTCCCTCAGAAAGGTGGGTAACAGATACTTAACAGAAGAGAGTGCACAGTGAATGGGTGTAAGTGACTGGGTCCTTCTCCATCTGACCTGGAGAACACCATCCTTTGTTTATAACTTCCCACACGCTTGGGAGAATATGTCTATGTTGTGCCTCACATATTGCGGAGAATGATGTGAATAGTGTCCACCCTGGAAAACTGGAAGGATACTAGCTCAAGGCTGGTATTTTTTTTTCCAGGAACAAATATCTTTCCTAATGTACAGGTAGCTAGGGGCACTACAGTTTTATTCTGAACGAAGAGGAGGGAGATCCCCATCATAACTTGGGCACCAGGAGGAGAGATTCATGTGATCCTCCCTTGGTGATGGGGGACAGGGTTAGCATATCAGAACTGAGGTTAGAATAAATGACGTGAGCTGAATTTGCTGGCATGTGAATGAAGCTGAAACACCACTGAAGTATAACCTAGGAGCCTGAGGAAGACATATTATTGGAAGGATCTTTTCATTTCCCCAAGGTCTGTCTAAAGTAGAGTATTACACATCTTGGCACTGAAAACCATGAGAGAATAACACAGTGAACAAATGCTGGGATGAGAGAAGATGGCATAAGCATAAGTTCAAAATGGCCTGGGGATTAACTAGAATTACCTGTGATTTTACAATTGTCTTATTCCCTGCTAGGGCTCATGTAGCCCTAGCGGTGTTTGTCTTGAATGGGTGGAAGCCTGTCTGTCTTTGTTGAACAAATACTACTACACCGGTACACTTACTATTTATTTGGGGATGGGGTGGGAGTGGCAGCAGCTACCTGATTACTGCCCCACTTTTTTCAAGGGCACAATTCTGGTAAAGAGTGATTTTTACTGCTATGTTTGGTGCATTTAGTTTCTTTCCAGTTATTTCCAGCACCTCTGCTGTTGTATACTGCGCTCTCCTGTGTCATAGAGTGAAGTTCTTGTTTTCTGGGTACTGCAAGTGTGGGAATGTGATGACCTGAACAAGGATGCACTTTCCCTTTGCTCTGGAACTCCCATTTTTTCCTTTCTCTGAGTTGTATTAACTGACAGAGTTCATTTCCTTTGTATTTTTTTAAGAAAATATTAAAATGGTCTCAGATACCTTTAAGAGTTTGTACTAAGCAGCTCTTTTTTTTCAGCAGACATTTTTGGGGACATCTACAAGGGTTAGCTATAGTTTCTGTCTTCAATCTGGTCAGCTGTGTGTTTGCCAAGTAGCTCTGCTGTTTTTCCTTTAGACTTACTAAGAAGTTGCATTTTACCACCATGGAGATCCTCATCAGTAAATGTTTACCTGAATTTTCTGTATTTGATCACACTTCTCATACTTGGAATTTACTTGAAAACCAAAGAAAATACAGAGGAGGCATTCTTGAACTCATTTACCACCCACTTGAATTTTAGGGCTTCAGTCGTCCCCCCCCCCCATTGTCTTTGCTTTCCACCTTATGCTATAAGCAGCCATCCAGAATGCTACAGAATTGCAAGAATGTTGATGTTCCCAGAGCAGAAGGAAGGAGAAGCCCCATTGGAAAGTCACTGCCGCTGATACAGCCTGCTAGCCTTTCTTCAGCAGATGAGTTACACCTGCTAACAGAAGCCTGCCCTGTGCACCATGGCTTGTCCTGTCTTCCCGAGGGGTTGAGGGAGTGTGAGTGAAGTTGAGGTAGAGTTCTGATGGCTCCTAGGCTCTTTTCAGTGTCGACTTGAGTTTCAGAATAAATTCACATATAGTTCACATACCGAAGCCACAGCAAAATATTATACAGAAAAATCAACATGCGGACCTCATTGCTGCTTTTCAATTCTCTCCTGGTTTCACATGCCTTCAGATACTCACACAGGGGTACAGAGAGCCCCTAACTTGGCAGTTCCTTCTGTTTCCCAAGCTCCTGTAACTGGCAACTAGCTACTTAGTTACCTAATCTAGGAAACTTTATTGTATCTTTGCCTTCCTCATCACGATGCAAACATCAGGTAGTTTCCAAATTCAGAGTTTTGTCTTTTGTTGTACTACATGCACCGACATTGTTTTCATTCCTTCTGTCACCACATAGCTCAGTCCTTTATGTCTGATTTAAGGGTAGTATTCTGACTCCCTTACTTGCTCCTCTTCTCGTGCAATCTGTAGACCTTACACTTTATCATTATCTTCCTTTTTTTTCTGTCTTTTTGAGACAGTTTAGACATGCAGTTTAGACTGGCCTTGTGCTCACTTTGTAGCCCAAACTGGTCTCAAACTTGCATGGATCCTGCCTCAGCATCCCGAGTGCTGGAATTACAGGAGTGCACCACCATGCCTGGCATTAGTGATCTTCCTAATGCTCAGATATGATTATTATAATACTTAATATATAACAGATTATTAGTAACTTTTTTTTTTTTTTTTTTGTCTTTTTCCTTTTTACCGGTACCAGGGATCGAACTCACAACTGCCTGCTTGCTATTACTAACTTACTGAACAGTTATTTCTGCCCTAAAATTCCATGGATTTCCATTGCCCAAACTAAAAAGTTTAGATTCTTTAGCATGACTTTCGTATTTTTTTCCAAATCCATTTAATTTAGCATGACTTTCAGACCCATGGTAATCTAGAAGCAGTTTTTTTTTTTTTTTTAATCTTATGTACTAGTCCTTCCCTTAGGCATATTGTACTTCAGTTACTGGACTGCTAACCTTTCCTAAATTTGAGCTCACCCTGCTTCATGTATTATCCTGTTCCCACTGAAACTTTGCTTTCCTGATAACCCTAATTCCTTTTTTGTATGTACTTTGTTGTGATGGTACTGAGGATTGAGAGGTATATTCAGCCCTTATTTCTTATTTTGAGACAGGGTCTCACTGAGTTGCTCAGTTGGTCAGAATGGGCTCCTGTGTTAGCCTCCCTAGAGTGTTGGGATTACAGGAGTGAGCCTCCACACCATCCACACCAGCCTGACTCATTACCTCTAATTACAGTGTCATCTAGACATTTCAGGGTTTTTTTTTTTGTTTTTTGTTTTTTTCTTTTTTGGTTCCAGGGATTGAACTCATGACCTTGCACTTGCAAGGCAGGCGCTTATGCTGCTGAGCTAAATCCCCAGCCTAGACATTTCTTTTTTTGGTTTTTGTTTTTGTTTTTGAGTAAGAGTCTTGCTGTGTACTTCAGGCTAGCCTTGAACCCACCACGGAGTCCTGGCTGGCCTCAAACTCTCAGCAATCCTCCTCCCTCAGCCTTCCGAGGGCTGGGAGTACGCCACCACAGCCGGCCTACAATGTCATCTAGGGAGAACCCTTTCTGACTGCCTAGAGTTACTCCACAATCCGGGCTTCCATTTACAGGACTGTTCCTGTGATTGTTTTATCACATGCTATTAGGTTTGAGTCCATCTTCCTATTTAGGCTATATTTTCCTTTACAAAGTGTGTGTCCTTAGGGTGTGGTGTAATGTCCAATGTACCTTTTCTCTTTAGCGTGCAACTAGTGAAAGATAATGAAAGAGAAAATTGTGCAGGGGATGTTGGATGGATTAGACCTTAACCAGGTGATTTGGTTCCCCCTCACCTTACTTCCATTGCCTGTTTTAGGAAACCCAGGGCCTGTTTCACTAAAAACAAGCTGGAGCTACAAAGGTAAATTTTCACATCTTTTTCCAGCATTAAAAAGTACACATCCCACTGTAAATTGCTCGTACAGAAATAGCTAACATGGCTAAACTTTGCAAGAGTGAGGTCAGGGTGCCACAGTCCATCCCAGAGTCTATGCTACCTCTAATAATGTCCCCATCCATTCAGGAGACTACTGAAATCTCAATAAACTAATGGGGAAGGCCATCCTGAATGTCACACGTCTAGCTCTTGATGTTAAAGGGAAACTTGGTTGGTGTGGCAGACCATCACTGATGAAGAACCAAGCAACACTTGTACTCAGGTGGAGGGAACCAATTTTATTACAGCAGTGGGCCCAGGGGAGCTGAGCACTAACATCTGAGACCTGAAATTTCTTTTCATCCCTTTACATAGGGAACCTGGGCAGGGGTGCAAGCAGCATTACAGAAATGGATTAGGGCATGGTTAAACAGCCCCCCGCCTTTTTTTTTTTTGGTTTTTTGAGACAGGGCCAAGCTATGTTGTTAGGCTGGCCTTGACCTCATGGCTGTCCTCTTGCCTCAGCCTTCTAAAAGCTGGGATTACGAATGTATACTATCACACACAGGGTCATCTTATGCACATCTGCCATTTTAACTTTAGGTTTCAGTTTCCTTGAGTTTTGTTTCCCTCATCATTCCCCTCTTTTGATGCCCTATTTGCCCTTATAGGGCATCATTATCTCTTAAGGTCCTGTATCTATGGACTTGGGTTGGTAGCTCTTTTGGTGACTGGTCTCTGAATCTCATCAGGGTGCTCAGAAGGCAGCATCCTATTGTCACAGGCAACAGAAAGGTCAAAAGGGGCCCAGCTAAGGCCCACAATGTCCATTGCCTGGGCTTCAGTTCCAACCTTCTCTTAATTTTCCTTTGGATCCCATCTCTCAAGTCTGTGACCTTTGTGGCAACTACTCCTGATTGGTTGACATAACAACATTCCTGTCTCAGAAATATACAAAATACTAACTACCCTTTTCGGCAGTGAGGTCTAGGCAAGCCTGTTTTGTAGTCACAGCTGCCAGTGAAATCATCCGCTGCAGGGAGACTAGGGAGTCAGCCATCCGCAGCATATCATTTGGCTCCTGAGACAGCATATAATACAACCCTGCTCATGTCCCAACTCCTGCCAACCCTGCCCCTATTCCAGAGCGGATTAGAACCCAGGCCTGTGGGTCTGTCTTTTTCCAAGACCGGCTGCCTGTGAGTATCTGCGTAAACAGATCTCAGGGGTGAGGAAAATCTGGACATGTGCCAGTGCAGTTCTTTGAGTGGTGGAAGGTGGGGCTTCCACACAGGTAAAACATGGGGTGGGAATTGATGCAGGCAAGGAGGGTGTGGACAGTAGTGATTCACTTTTTGGACTGGACTGGGGATTGTGAGGGCACCTCAGGTTGGACCCTGAGGTGTCAAAGAGAATACCAGATGCCATTAGCCAGATCAGTATGCTTCTGTTCCATCCTGAGGAACCTTCTGGGAAGCTCCAACTGGCTGGTACTGGAGTCCTCACATAGGCTGCTTTATGAAGAGGCAAGCAAACCAGCAGAATTGAGACCTGTTGACCCCTGCACTGTAAGGACACAAAAGCAGGCAGTAGGTGTGAGAGGTGGGGTCAGTGAACTGGGTTAGGTGGTAGAGGCCACACAGATCTGTATCCTGGTATGGCTGCTGCTTGGCTCCTGATCCAGGTTTACCAGCTGATTTTGTACTACTTTTACCTGTTTATGGAATGCACTGTCCTCAGCTCCTCTCCCATCGGACATGCCTACATGAGTCAGCTAAGTCCAGCATGTTGTCTTTCCATGTTGGTTATAGTGAGTTGACTCTTTGACATTTGAGTTGGCCAGGACAGAACAGCCTACTCTTCTTGGGCTGTGGTCACCAGTATATTGGCATAGGGTGGCCATTTGGTAGCAAGGGATGGAGGTGCATGTAGGTGTAGGAGATAAACCTAGTAACCTGTCATCCACCAATGGTCATTGGGTGATTACAGGCTGTGGGGCAGAGGGGTGTTACAAATCAAGATGCCATAGTCTCCCAGCAAACCAAGGCCTGAGGAAGTCCAGGAAGCAGTCACATGATATAGCCTGAGCATCTAGGACTTTTAAATTGACACAGTACACATCAGTCAACCAAGGTTTGGGGAGCCAGGAGACCAATTCAGTGAAGGGCTGGAGGCTGGAGTGTTGGTCCATCTCATAAAGATTGTGACTTGGCAGGTGGTCTCCTCCAGGAGTCCAGTCTTCAGGGGATTGTGTGAGTCATGATGCACGGTCCAGGTGACTAAAGGGTCCTCAGGGTGACCCTTTTTCAGCCAAAGGTGATGTTTCCAGGGGATGATACCTGCAACCTCAATAGCAGTTGGGTGATAAGCACAACAGTGTAAGGCACTGTTTACATGGGCTGGAGTGTTCTTTTTTCCAATCTCAGATGCAGACTGAACCAGTATATGGGGCTACCTGAGGAGATTAGGTTTCTCTCAGGGACAACTTTATTGATGTGGGAGAACAGTTTTCCCAAGGCCTGCAACTCAGCAGTCAGATTTGATTCTCCCAGGTATCTGATATCCACTTTCAGGGCCCTAATTATGGGAGAGAGGCTCCCAACAGGATTTATTTTAGTAGGGGAGTAGCCAGAAGACTCCACTGTACATTGGGCCTATAATAGGGCCAGGAGCAGCATATCAACTCCTGGAGTGGGTCTCTTCACAAAATATGGCTAGAGTAATTCATGTGGTCCACTTTCCCTGAAGTCTGAGCTCTATAGGCCATGGGGAGATTTCATCTCATTTTCAGCAGAGTCCGTTATTTCTGCCACAAAGGCCAGTCCATTGTCATTCCTGATAGTGAAGGGCAGCCCATATTGGGGAATGTTTTCCTGCAACAAAACCTTGGCCACTTCTTAGGCTTTTTCCATCCGTACAGGTATGGCGTTCACTTAGTCTGAGTATGCACAGATGAAGACCAGCAATTTTTGTAGCTGTGGCATGGCTTTGTCTCTGTGAAGTCTATCTCTAAGTCTTCAAAGAGGGAGGTCCCTGGTATATTGTATGCTCAGAGCAGGCTTAGGTTACTGGAGGGGGCTTTTTCCAGGTGCAGATTTGATGACATTTGCTTATGGTGACATTTGCTTATGGTGGCACAGAGATGACAGCCAGGCAATGTAAAATTATTGGCCCAATAATGTGTCTGAGGCTGTCCTTCCCAAATGGATCAGTTTATGGTATTGCTGGACTGTGGGAAAACCATTCTTTAGGGCACAAAGGGTTTCTGGTTGTTCAGGCACCATCATTCTCCAAGGGCTTTATAAGGTTTTCCCCTCTGGACTCATTGGTCTTCTGGAGAATACCCTGGTTCCTTAGAGTGTGTGGGGGCCATCAATATTTTGGGGGTCTTTGGGTTGGGACTGGCTTATTTCCTCAAGCCACCTCTCTAGCTGACTGGTCTGCCAACTGATTTCTTTAGTAATACTGTTTTCATTTTTGGTGCCCCTGACAGTGTATGATGGCCACCCTCTTAGTTTCCCAGACAGTTTCCAGGGATTAGATTATCTTTTTATCAGTTTTCCATTTCTTTTTCCTCAGCAGCCAGCAATCTTCTCTCTTTATATTTGGTTCTGTGGATGTAGACCTTAACAAAGGTACATTGGGAGTCAGTGTAAATGTTGACCATTGTTATGGTTGATATATTGTGTCAACTTGAGAAGTTTAGAAGTTTAAGAGACTCAGCAGGGAGTCAGGATTCTTACTTTGTAAATATTCTCATCCTGTGTAAGAGGAAAGCACAGAGATTTTTGTGAGTGCTGCACCTCCCAGGAAGAGAAGGGTGACTGGTGTACAACATAAGGGAGGAGAAGAGGCTTGTTTTCCCTCCTTTTTGGTCTAGCTGATTTTGCTAGCTGCTGCCTTTAAGTGATGCCCCAGTGCCATGTCACCTTGCCTTGGAGCCAGCTGATTATGGACTGAAACCTCCAGAAACTATAAGCTAAATAAACCTTTCCTTCCTTCATTTGGGGTGTGAGGTGTTTTGTCCCAACAAAAGAGAAAAGTAACCAAGACAACCATCTTTCATTTTGTCCACCTAGGGCCCAGAGCTCAGCCCTCTGAGCTGACCACCCCTTTAGGAAAAACCAGCCTCAGTGACCTGTCAACAGTAGTGACTGCATACTAGACCAAATGTTCTCCATCTTGAACAAAGCCTTGAATACATTTGCACCTGGATACATCACTGTCCAGGTACACTGCTGGGCTCTGGTCAACTGGTGAACATTTTATTGATGACTTCTTCAAAGTCATGGCCTGGTAGTCCCTCCTCAGTTGGTAGAAAGAGAGCTGGGATTAGGGCTTGAATGGTCTCTATAGAGTGATTCAGGGGTTTTCACTGAGAAGTCCTTGATACTGGGTCATTCTGGCTTGGGTAGTTATTTGTGTCCCTGGTTATTTATTAGAGTCATGACTGAGTGTGGGGGGCTTTGACTCAAAAGGCCTGTCCCAAGGTTAATATGTTGGCCTCTTTAACAAAGGTGACTGTTGCTCTAGTGCCATCTAGCTGCTCAGATAAGTAGGCTACCAGCCTAGGCCAGTATCTGACAATCTGAGTTAAGATGCCAAGTGCTATATTTTTTTCACAGACAAAAGGGTTAAATTGTCTGTTTCTATCAGGTAGTCCCAAAGCCTGAGGACAGATGAGCAGCCTTTTGATCTCACCTCTTGTTCTCCCCATTCAAGAAATTTTTCTTCTGGTCTGGTCAGTGTGGCATACAGCAGCTTCTTGGAGTACCCTGGTATCCATATACTATAGAACCTGGCTGCCTCTAAAATTTCCTAAAGTCTTTTCCTGTTATTGGCTTTAGGATGGAGCAAATAATTTCTTCTCTCTTGGCCTCAGGAAGTGGTGTCCTACTGCAGTGACAAATCCCAGGTATCAGACTTCCAGGACCCCTTGTGTCTTAGTTACTTTTCTCTTATTGCTGACACAAAATAACTGACACCCAAAGTTAAAGGGGGTTTATTTAACTTAGAGTTTGTAGAGGCACCCTGTCATGAAACAACAGTTCATGATGGCAGAAGACAGCAAAAGCAACAACAGCAAGCCTTTATTTCTTTCTTTATATTGTGCAGGTTGCCTGCCCTAGGGTGGGTGTAGCACTCACACCCTCAATTCCAGCACTAGACATTGAACCAATCACAGACTCTAGATACAGTGGCTTCCGAAAACCCCACCCCTCGTGACCACATGAGGCTTTGCAGGGACATCCAGACACAAACTATAACACTTTGTATCCTGTATCCATTAGCAACTGTAAAAGGATTCTTATGCCTTTCTAACAGTCCTCCTCACTTGTCAGTAAGAGGTTATCCACATACTGGAGTAAAATACAATTCAGTTTTTCTCCTGGGAAAGCAGCCAGATTTGCAGTTAGGCCTCTCCAAACAGGGTGAGAGGGTTTTTGAAACCCTGGGGAAGCCCTATCCTAGTCAACTGGGTCTTTTATCCTGTACTGGGATCTTCCTATTTAAAGGCGAACAGGGTGTGCCTTTTTTTTTTTTCAGTCTCTTAGAATACCTAAAAGGGTGTGCCTTTGTAATATTTAATATTTTTTTCTTGGTAATGGGAATCTAACTCAGGACCTTGTGCTTGCTAGGCAAGCATTATGACACTGAGCCATATCCTTGGCCCTACAGGTGGCTTTGTAGGGCTAGGCGCAGGCAAAAGAAAGCATTGATGAGGTCTAAGCAGGTGAACTCTTGGACTCTAGGTGGTGTCTGGGCTGAAGTAGCTGTTGGACTAGGGGCTAATTAACTCAAATCAGGTTCTTCTACAGCAGGTGAGTCAGGTTGATTGGATGGAAGTGGGGGTCCAATGAAGGAGGACTATCAGGAAAGCCCAGTGGCTGCGGTGCTGAAGATGGTGAGGGAAAACATGGCAGGGGGTGGTGGTGACTAAGGACTCCTGATGAGCCTTGATGAGTTGGTTTTCTCTGAACATTTGGGGCTAGACTTAAAACTTAGATGATAAAGACCTTACTCCATCCCTTTCTAGTCTTGCAGAATCATGCCCAAGTAGGGAGGGTCTGGGCAAATTCTAGCCAAGAGCTGATATCTGGGAGCTGGTCAAGAGGGCTCTAACTATCAATGACTACCTTCTAGAATGCCCACACTACATGGATATTCAGGCCCCTTTGGGAAACCACCCAATGTCAGTCTACCTCATAATGGATTCTTAATTTATAGGGTTTCAATTTTTTTGTACCAAGAATCAAACTCATGACCTTACGGTTGCCAGGCAGGCACTTATGCCACTGAACTAAATCCTCTGCTTATTGAGTTTCAATTTAACACCATAATTACACTAAACCCCTTCCTGAAGTTTTTGAACATGCAAGCTAGGGCAGTGGGTATGGCTTGCCTCGACCCCAGATTCTGAGATGTTTTCCCCATGAACAGTGGTATAACAGACAAAGGAGGGGAGTCCCTGAAGGAAACCATTTAGATGCCCACTTGGTTACGTCCTTCAAACTTTGGAGGGTCTTGGCAAAGGTGTACCCATATAAACTCAGGCCTAGTCAGTCCCCTATTTGCGGAAGATGAATCACTGTTATGGGTAGGACTTCACAATGGAAATGCAGGTTAGGGTCCACTTGGACTCCGTATCTTATGCCAACATGTTCATACCCACTCACTCTGCCATCCAGAGGTTAAGACATTCCTTCTCCCTTAAGGGGGACCCTTGAGATCTCTGGCTTGAGACCCTGGAAGGTGATTAGACTCCCTTCTGTCGGTGAACAGGCATGACTTGGGACAGCCTGCGGCTTTACCTTGTCCAGAAGCTGCACCAGGGGACCAACCCACCCCTCCACTGAATCTGGTAGGGAGAAGCTGGTACAACCAACAATGACCCTCTCCTGATAAAGAAGGTCTTGTCACTCTGGGAAAGACACTTGTCAACCATTCCCCCTAGTCTGAACTAGCGCAATGAACTAGCACGCTGTTTCCCAGTCAGACTGTCACCAATGAACACCCAAGCAGTACTCGGAGAAGTGGGGGGAATCAGCAGGCCCAGAGGAGCTTAGCCTCCCAGGTCTGAGCCCCAAAACAGTTCCTTTCATCTCCTCACATCGAGATCCTTAACCGGCGCGCAAGCAATTTTATAGAACCCGAACAAGGTGTGGATAAACAGCCATTTTGTGCACATCTGCCATTTTGACCTTAGATATCGGTTTCCTTGAGTTTCTTTCCTCATCATAGTGACCAGGATAGTATGCAGACAAAGGATTTGTCACACTGGTCCCAGGAAGCGTCCCTAGTCACAAAGCCAGCCGACACCTTTCCGCTGGGATTGGGCAGTAAAGGCGGGCGCTTGCGTAGCAGAGCCGCGGACAAGAGGACGCCTGCGCAGAGAGGCGGAGAGCGTGTGCTTGCGCCCCGCCCCCGCCGAGTCGCGCCCGCGCAGTAAAGAGCAGGCCGGCAGAGACGGCGGCTGCGCGGTCGTGGGGCAGGGGAGCTGTCGAGGTGGCGGCGATGGAACCTGCAGGGCAGCTGAACGAGTTAGTGTCAGCGGAGGGCCGAAACCGGAAGGCGGTGCTGTGCCAGCGTTGTGGCTCTCGCGTGCTGCAGCCCGGGACTGCTCTCTTCTCCCGCCGACAGGTAGGGAAGCCGGTGCTTACACCCTTCCAAAGGCCGGAGCGGTCAGAGTCGTGAATCCCTACTACTTGGTTTCCGGGGACCGCGCCCCTGCTCGCGCGGTCCATAAGCCCCGCCCCTCTTGCGCGAGGCCCCGCCCCGGGCTCACTGCGCTGAGGCTCAGCCGCTGCGACAGCGGACGGTGGATGGTCGGGTGCCACCTCGGCCTGAGGGAGTCTTGCCACTGAAGGCTTTTTGCATCAGCTGTGGCCGCGGATCCCCCATCCATTCCTGGCCTGTCTGTAAGAAACTTCTCTGTCCCCGGGTCTCCCCAGCGTGCGCCCTGTACGCCCAGTCCGGTTGCCGGGTGCTGCTGGAAGGAATGCACCAGCTCGTAGCCTTAGCACCGCCTCTGTGGCCCCGGGCCGCCAGGGCGCAACTTAACTTCTGTCCCGCATCGGCCCCCACCTACGTGGCCGTCCTTTAACGCCTCATTTCTGCTCTACAAATTTCTTTGGCGTGCCGGATACATACAGTAGCTCCGGGTGTACGTTTTGCCAAGGCACTGAGAACCAGAGTTTTCGAGACGAATCATATTTCAAATTCGATATATATTTGGAGTCCTGGAAATAAATTTCGAAAGAAGATTAATTTTTACCTTCAGGTTAGGACTTCCTATTACTATCACCCCAGAGAAAGTCGAAACAAAATTTAACTTTAGTAAACCTTTTATTAAAGTGTGTCCAGTAGGAAATTGCAAAATGTAATCTCGTTTCAACCATGTGCACTTTCACTTAAAAAAGGATTTGTAAGAAATGAGCAGGTCATTTTATTTGCTGTGGTTGTATAGCTGGTGAACCATAGGGTCTGATAGGAGTAAGAAGTACCTATTTCTGCAAAAACAGAACCCTTTTCATAAAAGAAAGGAGGGCTGGGGATTTAGCTCAGTGGCATAAGCTCCTGCCTGGCAAGAGTGAGGTCCTGAGTTTGATCCCCGGAACCAAAAAAAAAAAGGGAAATTACTTCCTTGTGGTCCAGGGAAGGTTGGTGCCCCCCCTCCCTTTTTTTTGTCTTTTTCCTTTTTATCGGTCCGGGGATCGAACTCACGACTGCCTGCTTGCAAGGCAGGCGTTTATGCCGCTGAGCTAAATCCCCAGCCCCCGGTGTCCCCTTTCTTCCCCTTTGCTTGGTAAGACTTCCTAAGACTGAGAAGACTCCTTATTTTATTATTACTTTTTTTTGGTACCAGGGATCAAACTCATGACCTTGCGCTTTCCAGGCAAGCACTTATGCCACCGAGCTAAATCCCTGGCCTAAATTCTTAACTCTTACTGGATATATTTTATAATAAATTGATGTTGTCTAAAGCATATGAATTATATGAATTGTACATATTATATATCTTTTCCTACTTTTTTTTTTTTTTTTTTTTTTGTCTTTTTCATTTTTATCGGTACCAGGGATCGAACTCAAGACTGCCTGCCTGCAAGGCAGGCCCTTATGCCGCTGAGCTAAATCCCCAGCCCCCTCTACTTTTCAACAAAATAGCTACTATTCTAGAAAGAAATCTTGGAATTTTTTTTGTTTTACTTTTATCTTTGCTTAAAAAGAAAATTTTTTCTTATTTCTCCATTTTTGTTTGCTTGGTTTTCTTTTACTTTGGTTTCAGTACTTCTAGACATGACCTGTTTTGGGGGTTTTGTGTTTTGTTTTGTTGTTTGTTTTTTGAGACAGTCTTCCTGTGTAGTTCAGGCTAGTCTTGAACTCACTGTGTAACCCACACCTACTTCAGACTTGCAGCAATACCCCTTTGCTGGGGTTACAGGTGTGCACCACCACACCCTGCTCCTGTTTCTTGAAAAGCACTGTTGGAAACATCCGGGTTCCTCCATCTGCTATGTGCCTTATACATCAAAGAAAAAAATTTTTTTAAAGTTCCTGCCCTGACAGAATGAGAATGATTCACAATTTGAAAGTAAACAAACTTCTTAACCAAAACCCTGTAAAACTTCATGGTAACTTTTTTTTGTTAAATTTGAAATGTTGCAAAGAAAACAGGTAGCGGGTGGGAGATAGCAGGACTCTTACTTATCTGGGTGTAAGTGAAGTGCTCCCAGCCATGAAATAACCTTGGAGAAATGTAGGATGCCAGGACACCTCATTAGAGCATTCTCAGCCTATCCAGGAAAGCAGCCTAGTGTGGTCTCCAAATGAGAAAAATTTGAAAACTAGACTCTGCCAGCCTCACCTTTGAGACATCTAAATCTCAGTGATCACTGTACATAGTTCTTTAGTCTAGAGCAATATGTTTCTCACCTGGGGACCATTTTGTCCCACAAAGAAAAAAAATAGACATGTCCAGAGATATTTTTGGTTGTCAGAGTTGAGGAGGGATGTGCCTGGCATCTGGCTGCTCAGCATCCTGCAGTGCCTAGGCCCGCGCCCACAGTAAAGACTCCTTCATCCCAAAATACCAGTTGTTCAAGGCTCAGTGTCAGTGGCCTGACGACAGCAGAGCACTTACCCATCATTTTTCACTTGACTTTAGAAGTTTTTTATACTTCTTGTTGCTTATTGTGTCCTGTCTACCTCTGTGCCTCTGATACCTAGGCTGTACAGATAAGTGACCATTTAAGAAAGTTTGGATTTAAGTTATTAATGAATAAAAGCAGTCCAGGTGAGGGGTGGGTTAGGGTGGATACAGTGGCTCAGGAGGTTCCAGCTGTCAGCCTAGTTGTCCCCTGTTTTTAGCTGTACATGTAAAGTAGTCCTACTTCTGAAGTTGGCACGGGTTGAATAGTCCTTATCCAAAATGTATGGGGTCAAAAGAATTTCATATTTCAGATTTTTTTTTGGATTTCAGAAGACTTGTGAATATATAATGAGCTATCTTGAGACTGAGCTGCACATCTAAGCATGAGACTTTTGTCTTACATACGCCTTTCTACATAGCCCAAAAGTGATTTGATGCAGTGTGTTTAGTGTGCCTGTGTCTTGACTGTAACCAGTCTCACGAGGTCAGGTATGGAAATTGCACTTAAGGCATCATGTCAGTTTCAAAATTTCAGTATTAAAACATTTTAGATTGGATTTTTGGATTAAGGAACCTGTTACTTCTCATAATCTTATCTTGAAGTTTTTGGTGGAAGAGATTATAGTTAAACCAAGAAGAGGTGGGTGACAGTGTGTATTTCATTGTTGAGGAAACATGGTACATTTGGAGAACTGCAAAATTACATTTTGGCCAGAACATAGAGTATGATGAGGCAAGCAGTGAGGGTGGGGCAGATGAAGCGATGGGAATGGAGGCAGCAGAGGGGCAGGAACGCTTGGTTGGGGATAGGACACAGGATCAGAAAGGAGATGAGCCAGGGGCCACCTAGGCTGCTGTGGCTCAGAAGGTGACCAGTTTCCTACATGAGCAGGAGGCACCAACAGGTGGCAAGACACCTGGGAGAAGCAAAATGAGGGGGAGCAGTTGGGGAGCCAGGACACAGGTTTCCCTCTTGGAGCCTGAAGACACAGGCTGTCAGCGAGTGTGTGGTAGCCACTGAGAGGGCTGTGGTGCTGTCCTCAGCAGTAGCCTCATTCTCGCCACCAATGAAAAAAGCAAAGTGCACAGGATTTGAGAATGTAGGGAAAGGGAGGTAACACTGTAGAATATAACTGCTTGCCCGCTTATCTTTTTCAGGGGGCAGTGGAATATTGGTTTGTGGGAAGAAGGTATAGAACAGGAATGGCATAATAATACAGGAGCAGAAAACCTGACTGCAGTAATCAGGGCAGTATCTTATAAAAGTAAACTTAATGGATGACCGAGAACGCTGGTATCTTTTTTTTTCCAGAAAAGTGAAATCTGTACAGAAATGTACATAACTATTCATAATAGCCAAATGATGTCCTGAAACAGATGAAAGACTGGGGCTGGGGATTTAGCTCAGCAGCATAAGTGCCTGCCTTGCAAGCAGGCAGTCATGAGTTCGATCCCCGGTACCGATAAAAAGGAAAAAGACAAAAAAAAAAAATTAAAAAAAAAAACAGATGAAGGACTAAACACTCACAACATGGAACACTACTCAGAAATATAAATGGAATGAACTGTGAATACACATAGCTTGCATGTTTCACCAGGAAATTATGCTGAGTAAAAAACCCAACAAGTGGGGCTGGGGATTTAGCTCAATGGCATAAGTGCCTGCCTGGCAAGCACGAGGTCATGAGTTCGATCCCCAGTAATGCAAAAAAAAAAAGCCAAACTATTATTTTACTTCTACAAATTTTTGAAGTGAAAAGTTTCAATTTATGAGTGAATATATGAGAGGATGATGGGGATATTGTTGAGCACAGTTATACAAAGGGAATGGGCCAGATAAAGTGGAGCTCACCTATAATCCCAGCACTCAGGAGGCTGAGGCAGGAGAATCACTACAAGTTCAAGGCCAGTGTGGGGTACAAAGTGAATTCAAGGCCAGCCTGGACTACATAGTGAGACCCTATCTGAAAAAATAAAAGGGGAATATGAGGGGCCCCTGTGTTGATGGAATAATTCACACTGTAGAATGATGGTAAACACAGAAACTTCTTTTTTTTTTTTTTTTTTGTCTTTTTCTTTTTTATCGGTACTGGGGATTGAACTCACGCCCACCTGCTTACAAGGCAGGTGCTTATGCCGCTGAGCTAAATCCTCAGCCCCGACACAGAAACTTCTGTGTGATAAGATTACATAGAACTGGGGCTGGGGATTTAGCTCAGCAGCATAAGCGCCTGCCTTGCAAGCAGGCAGTCGTGAGTTCGATCCCTGGTATCGATAAAAACAAACAAACAAAAAAAATTACATAGAACTAAACAGATACACACAAGAGAACTGGGGAAAATCTGAATGAAGATCTGTGGATTATATCAGCGTTTATGTCTTGCTTTTAATGTGCTATAGCTTTGTGCAATGTTATCTTTGGAGAAAACTGGGTCAGTACAGTATATGAAATTTGTGTATTCCATGTGTAACTGATTATCTCAATAAAACTTTCATTTGAAAAAATCAGGACATTATAGGAAGTGAAATAAGCAATTCACAGGGATAAATACTGCACAATTCCACTTCTGTGAGATACATTGAATAGTCAGATTTATAGACAGAAAGTAGAATAATGGTTGCCATTTTTCAGCCCAGTAAAGGAAAAATACGGTTAAATGGGTGCAGAATTTAAGCTTGGGAATGAAAAAGTTGTGGAAATATTGGCAATGGTAGCACAACCATCTGAATGTACTTAATGCTACTGAATTGTACACTTAAAAGTGGCTTAAATGATGAGTGTATTTTTTACCACACACACAGACACCAAAAAAACTGAGAACGAGAGCGGAGCTGTGTAAAGTGGTGTGATGCTAGTTAACCACAGCCCTTTAACAGTCACCCCTAAATAGAGCGATTGGAAGGACAACGGGGCATTGGCTCAGGAACTGAAGGCTTGGCTGGGCCCGGCTCAGCAGTGCTCCTTTGACTTCTGGCTGTCTGAAGGGTCATCTTGAAAGCTTCTGAGCTTGCACATCTCCCTGTGGGAGGAAAGTTTTAAGGACTTGGCCCATGAAAGAGGCTTTGTGGGGCATCTGTGTCAAAGATCTTTCCACATGGCTTCCACACGGCACCCTCAGAGTAGCCAAACTAACAGTGGCTGACACCCCAGAGCAAGTAACCTCAGAAAAACTATAATAGTCACACACTCCTGCCTTGTCACTTCTGCTGCATCTGGACATGCAGCATTCATTGTGCTCTGCCCACACTGTGGGGAGGGCAGTGGACTACGCCTGGTGAAAGGTTTGTCAGCCTGTGAACATGTTTTAAAACGCCACATGCACTCACAGAAGCACTCTGTTGTATCAGTTTTTACTCTCATCTATATTGTATCATGCTTGCCAAGCTTCCTGTGAGAATTCATGCTTACAGTGAGAAAGGAAATATTTTATTTTTAAAAGGGTACTGTGGCCAGGAGAGGTGGTGCACACCTGTAGTCTCAGCTCACAGGAGGCTGAGGCTGGAGGATCGCCATGAGTTTGAGGCCAACTTGGGCTATACTACAAAGTGAGACTTTGTCTCAAAACATAAGTAAATAAATAAATAAAAGCGTACAGCAAGCAGTTACATTAAAGTGAGTCCCCCAGCCTGATGCTTTACTTCTGAGGAGCCTGTCCAGGACGAGGGCCATTAACTAGCTGTGGCTCTGAGAGCAAAGAGAACCTGGTTGGTAGTTTCAGTCCCCAACCAAGTCAGCTGCCTCCAATTAGATTTTGTTTTTTTAATTTTTGTCCCAGTAGTCTGCCTAGAAAGCCTGTCTTCCAACTGTCATATCCAATCAACTGGCTCCTTGTCTTGGCCTTGGAACAATAGGTTGAGGTCCAAACGATAAGTTGAGGTGCAGTTGTGGGTCTGACATCTAAATCGAAAGGGGCGTCTTAAGGATTAGAAGGAATGGGGCCCAGGGTATCCAGCAACTGATAGTTAACAGTAGCAGTGGCTTATGTCGCGAGTCACGGGGGACACTGCAAAGGGGCACTTTGAGCTGTAATCAGCAACAGAAGAGGGGGGCTGCCGCCCTTTGCTAGGGGCTTCCTGAAAGCTAGTGCTTAAGAATTCTTGGGCCTTCTCTTCATTTTGGTGGGCACACTGAATACTTGGTTGTATTTCTTAAGTTGTTACAGGTCTACTCTGCTTCAATTCGTAAAATATAGTGAATAGGCCAGAAATAACTGGGAAACTGAGGCCCTCAGAAAGCTACAGATGTGGCTGCAGTCCTGGTCTTCTGAATTTTGATTCCCCTCTGTCTTAGATTCTGCCTGTTTCAATTTTCAGGGAAAACAGCATCAGGGACTTATGCAACCTTCAGGTGAGGCAAACAGGGTGACCAGAATTGTGGGGTAGCAGAAATAGGGACTATTACATTTTTTTTTGAAGTTCTCAGGTCACACCGCACAGATACTGCACCTGTTTGAATAAACTAAGTGCTTAGCACATGGGGAGTAGAAATGTTCTGGGTTAGAGCTCCCCTATTGCTGCAGGCTGGGCCAGGGTCCAGATGGCTGCCTCTGTTACAGTGTGTCGAATGCACAGGAGCAGCCCTTAGACTTCCGCAAAGCAGTGAGAAGAGGCTTACCTCATACTTAAGCACCAACCTTTAGGAGACCTAATGTCAGTCTAATTCTTTACATTTTTTTATTTTATTCTGATTGCATGTGCCACATGATTTTATTACAGTTTGGAGCCACATTAGAGTGTGTTGTGGGATGGGAAATAAATTACACAACAGCAGCCAAGAGTAACAGGACACCAAGTTTTGCTTGTGTTGTATCTCGTATGCATCTCAGGCAACTGAGTGTACACTGCCCATGTGGCGGAACTTAAAGGAGTGTGTGCATATGCCCAGGATTCCATCTCTAGCACTGTAAAATAACAAGTTAAATTATAAAAATTTTAAGATACAGTGAGCAGTACTGTCAGGACAGAGATTGCTTCCTGAGAACTTGACACTCGAGCTGATACCAAGAAGGTGCTGCCCTTGCTGAGATCCGACAGCCAAGCAGACTTAACTTAAGGAAGCGAGAAGGCCAGCGTGCTGCAGCACAGGGCAAGGCCACAGTCGGTGCAGCAGGGAAGCCACCAGCTGGGGCTCCTCTGCCATGTCTCTCAGCCCCAGGATGGGCACCAAAAGAGCCTCCCAGGGTGCTAGTCTTACCTGTAGACTGGAGATGGTGCATCCTTGCCACCGTCCCATTTCAGAAAGCCACTCAGAGGAGTGTGAGAGTGAAGTGTGATAGGATGAGGGTGATGATGTGCCAGCTCAGCTTGTGTGTTCCTCATGTTCTCTTCCACTGCAGCTTTTCCTTCCGTCCATGAGGAAGAAGCCAGCCCTGGCTGATGGCAGCAACCCCGACGGCGATCTCCTCCAGGACCACTGGCTGGTTAACGACATGTTCACCTTTGAGAATGTGGGCTTCACCAAGGACGTGGGCAACATCAAATTTCTGGTCTGTGCAGACTGTGAAATTGGACCCATTGGCTGGCATTGTCTAGATGACAAAAACAGTTTCTATGTGGCCTTGGAACGGGTTTCTCATGAGTAACCGAGGAGATAGGGACTCAACTCTACCCTCAGCTCTGAAAGAACTGGCATCAAACTTGGTGTAACTGTTGTGCTGCTGATTTCTCTGTACCACGTAATATACGTGATGAGCGCCAACATAGGCACTGGAATGCACAGAGGGCCAGCCCCGCTTCCTGCCAGCTGCAGTGCATGCCTCCTGCTTCGTCCACTTTGCATCACAGCATGTTCTAACTTCTGGTCCCCCAGTGTTGGGACACCTCGACCTCCACACATCTGTTCTCATCGCTGGCCTCTGTTGTACCGAGGGCTCCCTTTTTTCTGCTCTAAAAGAGCAGTGTTCAACTTTTTAGCCATAATAACACATGACAAGAGTTTCATGTGCTGATAACTTTACCTTTTTTACTTTCATTCAAGAAAACAAATGTGAGGGCGATCTGGCTGCAACATCTGTCACCTCTATGATCGCCAGGGTTGATTCAGCTGATGCGGGTGGCTACAGACGAAAGTCCCCTTCCTCCCTCAACTCTCCACATGTGTCACTCCTGAAACTGCGCACTCGATCAAAGAGGACAACCCCCCACCCTCGGCCAACGGAATATAGGCAGCTGTGCTCCCCTCTGGGAGCCTCCAAACAAGCTCTCAGTCAAGCAAACATACGAGTACCTGAGAGTAGTTTTGTTATGTAATTAACCTAGTTATCTACAGGAATTTGCTCTTTGTAAAAGTAAAACAAATTCCAGTATTTAAGCCACTAATGAGAAGCATCTAATAAATACCGTGGGCAAGAGCCTTAGATCTGGAATAAGGGACAGCCTTATTGTGAAGATGAATATGGCCCTTCTTCCTTTCAACTCTTGATGTGGTTTCTCTTGTTATAAACTCCTTAACTGCTACAGCCAATTGTCAATACCAATCAAAACTCAGCCCTAAAAACACAAAGAACAAAACAACTCAGCTCTAGCTCTCTTACAGTCAAGAGTAGAGAGTGTATGAGTGTAGAGGGTATATGAAGGATGGGTCTTTGACAAATTGTACCTGAATTTCTAGGTTATCTCTCTTCCTTTGTTCTTAGGGAAGACTTCTTTAATGGTGAGTGTCATTCACTGAACATGAGGTATGGTCCTCAGAGTTTTGCTTCAGTTGGACTCTATACCATCCCAGAATACTGTTTTTTTTTCTCCTCAAATGCCTCTTTTTCTATTGCTATACAGTTGCTTTTTTTTCCCCCCTGGTACCAGGAATCAAACTCACGACCTTGTGCTTGCCAGGCAAGCACTTGTGCTGCTGAACTAAATTGCCGGCCTGTGCCCTTTTTAATATTAGTAAATTTTATTTAAGTCTTCAACATGAGTTCAGTCATTCTGTCATCTGTTCGGAAATGTCTTAGCAGGAATCCGTATAACCAGGTTTCAGGGATTCCCCCATCATCTGTAGCTCTGGGGGACTAAAATTGAAATAAGGACCAAACAGAAGCCCTTTCAGGCCCCTTCCTTTGCATTTTTGCTCTGGTTGCTGCTTCCCTCTTTCCAGAGTTTCTTGAGGGGTCCTCCCACTAACATGCAAGTCTTGGGCACAGGTTTGTAGCCAACGTACTTGCGCAGAAGGGTGGCTTTCTTCCCTAGGCTGGGCCTGAACAAGCTCCTGCAGAAAGGGAGAGAACTGTTTGGTATTTGTAGAAAACTGAGAATTACCCTCAGTTACCCTCAACTGAGAATTACCCTCCAGTTGAGAAGGAACCAACCAAGAAGATGCCTCTAGCAGGCATATGGCCCCTGCCATCACAAGACAAACCTAAACTAAGAATTTTCTTAAATTAGGCTGCAGCTTTTTTCTCTTTTTTAAAATCATAGTAATAGTATATAACAGGCACATTAAAAATGAGTGTAAAATTATTGTTTAGCCAGGTATGATGACATACAGCTGTAATCCCAGCATTCTGGAGACTGAGGCAAGAGAATTGCTATGTGAGGCCAGCTTGGGATATACAGTGAGGTCAAGGCTAGTCTGAACTGCATATTAAGACCCTGTTTCAAAAAAACCAAAAAGGGAAAAAATTTTTTTGAAAAACAAGCATTTAAGCACACCTCAACTGTCCAAAAATTGCCGATGGCAATGGCCATATCATAGATAACTTGATGTTTTTCTATATAAACATGTACAGTTTTTTAAATAGGTGTGCAGTCCAACATTACTCTTTTATAACTTGCTTTTGTAAAGAAAAATAGGGTGAGCATCTTCCTGTGTCAGTAGCTGTTCATCCATCATTACTAGTATCACACTGCATCAGGCACTATAATTTATTTAAATCCACTATTAGGTTGTCCTCAGTTTCTTACACACAATAACGGAGTGTGCCACCTTGTTTAAATGTGAACGCACGCCCTGACTTCACCATGCATTTCCGTGCATGGTGAGAAGTAGAATTGCGGGTAGCTGTGGACAAGGCTTTCCTGTGTTGACACTGCCTCCAAAGACAGCTGTGTGCCTCGCCTTCCCCAGCATGTGAGGGAGCCCTGATGTTTCTGAACCCTTGTGATCAACAGGTATTCATGATCATGAAAAATACTATCTCATTGTTTTTACTTGCACTTATTTTACTTCTAATGAAAGTTTTGTATACTTATTGGTCATTTATGTTTCTTTTTGAGAACTGCCAAATATTGTTGTCCCAGGAAACAAAATGGCTGTGTTACCACTCTCTGCCTTTTCAGTTTGATCTGAAAGAAATAAAGGCATTTAAACTGTGGAAATTAGAGTCCTATATATCCTGAAGACTATATAAATTGAAAAAAGCAGAAGTGAGCTGATTATGAACTTAAGAGTTCAGCTTGAAATCTGTCAACTAATTGACTAAAGACAGAATCTGCTGTAAAATGGGGTGTCACCTCTTCATCCCTGTCACACACAATGAGTTCAGTAAACTCATGAATTACTGTTTGCCATAGTTAGAGACAACTCATGCTTGCCATGAGTAGAGAGAGCAGTTCTGGGCTGAGGAATAGCTGAGTGGTCCAGCTTCTGCTCAGCATACACGAGGCTGGGTTCCATCCCCAGTACTAAAACCCACACACACAAAACCCACTGTTCCTGTTGAGAGAAGTTGATTTTACCAAGGCCCAATTGTTTGTACAAAATTAAAATTTTAAAATGCAGAATCCAGAGGCTGAAGCAGAATTGCTGTGAGTTTGAGGTCAACCTAAACTATATAGCAGACCTTGTTTGATATATATAGCATTCAAGATGTACTGACAATTTACATATTGTTACCATGTCATGCTTGAGGCTGCTTAAGTAATTTTAATATGACTGCTGAGGAAAAGACTACTGGTGATGGTAGATGTAGAAGACCACCTGGACAGCTCTCCTTGAATACAGAGCTGTTACCTCCACTTTGGTTAAACCTGGCCCTATCTCCATGTACTGATATGTACAGAGCTGGCTAAGCTATTTTCTTTTTCCTTTAATTGGCTCTAGGCAATGTAAATAGCGCTAGCTGAAGTATTGATGTATAATCTTCGAAGCCAGGTGACAGTCTGTTTTTGCGTCCCATTTTCTCCCTCTAAATGGTTGAGCCCAGCGGGATGGCAGAGCCACACAGCTCCAGGGCTATCAGCTGGATTTGATTCTTGAGATAAGAGGCTGTGACTTCTCAGGCAGAAAAGGTTTGCACATCAGAGCTGAAGCACCAGCCTTCCAAACATTTAATGTTACGTTAGTCATGTTATGCACATTGGTCTTTCTGCATATCCTTAGCTGCAGAGGTGCCTTCTGGCCTAGCTAGCTCCGCTCACAGTACTCATGTAATTCTCGCCATTCCTATTCACTCATCATCTAGCCAAGCTACTTCCTTCTTCACAAATTAATAAAATCTGAGTTAGGCCCTGGGACATGGCCTTTGTTTTGTGAACCCTCATCTGGACTGGACTCAGGACCCCTTACCTGCCCTTAACTATAAATGTCTTAGTGTCTTTATTCTCATGTGGGTTACACTGGAGGTGGGAGATTGGAATTGATTCCCCATGATCCCAACAACATTTCCATGGGATTACAAATATAAACTTCTCAGACTGCAACTGTCTCTATAGTAGACAGGTAGTGTGGACCAGCTCTTCTGTTGACGGGGCATTTAGACAGACTGGAAACATATTATTGAAATCTATTTGCTGGGCATGTTGGTGTACATCTGTAATTCTAGCACTCAGAAGACTGGGGTAGAAGGATTGCTGTGAGTTTGAGGCCAGCTTGGGCTACTTAGTGAAACTCTGCCTCAAAAGCCACCCAGCCCACCCCACTCCTGCCCAAATCTGCTTGACTCTTCCAGGGATAGTGTGTAGAGGCACTCAGAATGGCCCAGCATTTGACACCATCATGGGCTTCTGTATAACTGTCACAAAACAGGCTACCCTAAGTCCCCAGTGATAGACATGTGTATCTTTGTCCCAAAAAGATGGGAAAGCACCAAAGGCCCCATGTGATGTGTGCCCAGACAGACTTCGGTCAGTGAGACCTACAGTTCTTATGAGATTGTCTACAATGAAGAAAACCTATCAACAAGGCCTGTCTCAAAAAGATAGAAAAAAAAAACTACATATCAAATAAAATTAATTCAGTGGGGTTGTTTTTGTTTTTGTCTTTTGAGACAGGGTCTTACCTGGACATCATAGCAGACAACCAAGACTACAGCACAAAACCTCACATACCAGTGGTGGCAGACCTGTGGCACTTGTGCTACCAGTAGGCTGTTTGTTGTCACTGAAAACTCTAAAATATTATTGAGAGAAACTAAAAGAAATCTTTGGGCCCAGAAAACTATAGCCCAGACCTCATCCAGTAGCTGAATTCTTAAGCCTTAGGAACCTCTGAGCTAAGAATGATTTTTGTGCTTTGTTGTTGTTGTTGATTTTTTTTTGTTTGTTTTTTTGACACAGGGTCTTGATATGCAGCTCAGGCTGGCCATGAACACACAGCAATCCTCCTGTCTCAGCCTCCCAAGTGCTAGCATTACAAGCATGTGCCACTATACCCGGCTCTGTGCTTTTGTTTTGTTTTGTTTTTTGGTACCAGGGATCAAACTCAGGACCTCACACTTGCCAGGCAGGCACTTATGCCTCTGAGCTAAATCCCCAGTCCTGCTTTTTTTTTTTTTAACCCAAGGTCTCCTGCATACTAGGCAAGTGCCCTTGTACCACACTATATCCCCAGTCCCAATTGTTACATTTTAAACAGTTGTAGAAGTATCTCCATAATGTTTTCGGTTTTGGCTTTCCATCCACAAAGCACAAAATACCAAGTTCTTTCATAAAAGTCTGTCAACTCCTAATATTAAGATGTCAACTTTCCCAAAATGAATATATACATTTTTAAAAAGTCATACTGAAAAAACCAACAATTACTGGCCGTGATACCACTTCCCTATAATCCCAACTACTTGAGAAGCTGAGGTGGGTAGATCTCAAATTTGAGTCCAGGCTGGCAATTTAGTGAGACTCTGTCTCAAAATTTTAAAACATCTGCAGTATAGCTCAGTGTGAAGGTGCTGGGTCCAGGCTGTAGAATTCTTCAAACTGATTCTAAGAATTATATACAAGTGCAGAGGAACAAGAACATCCAAGACAGTCAAGGGAACAACGTGGGAGAATTTATTGGATAGACAATGTTGCTTGTCACCAAGACAAATAGCTCACAACAGACACATGCCTATGGACAGGTGGAGGTGATCATTTGGAGGGACCATGAAGGGGCTCCTACAAATGCTGATAATGTCTTTGTTTTGTTTTTTTGTCCTGGGAATTGAACTCAGGACCTCGCACTTGCCAGGCAGGCACTATGCCACTGGAGCTATATCCCTGGCTGGTAATGTCTTTTTTTGTATCTTGAAACTGGTTATGTAATAAATTATTCAGCTATACAGCCTTTGTGTGCTTCTCTGAATAAATATTATATTTTCACAATAAAAACTTTTATTTTTGCAGTGCCAGGGATCAAAACCAGGGTTTGACAAGTGCTAGCCAATAATCTACCACTGAGCTATATATGCCATCTAGTAAAAGGTTTTTAAAAGAATATAACCAGCTCACCATGGGGGTGCACACTTAGTATCTTAATATTCTGGGAGATTGCAGCAGGAGAATTGTAAGTTTGAGTATAGCCTGGGCAACTTAGGGAGACTGTGTCTCAAAATAGGAAATGAAGGACGGCTGGGGATGCAGTTAGTGCAAAGGCCCTGAGTCATTTCTTTTGCCACAAAAACGGGGGAGGGGGGGAGCTTGAGGATTTAGCTCAACAGTTTAAGCGCCTACCTAGCAAGTGTGAGGTCATGAATTCAATCCCTGGTACCAAAAAACAAAAACAAAAACAAAAAAACAGTGATCCTTTACAAAGCACACTGTTCTACATATCAGTTTTTTCTCTTTAAACTCAGGATGAAATTTTATTTTTGTGATCTCCTAAGCCTGTACATTTTTAAAAATTAAACCCATGGCTCCACTAGCTCACCACAATGGAGAAAAATACCTTTTGGTGCCTAGCCCATTATTTATCATATTGTAGTTGTTTTATAAGTAACTATTGAAGAAAATATAAAAGTAACCCTCTGTGTATACCAAAACAATTCTGTACTATCACCAGTGACTGGTGCAGCTGTCTGGAACAAGTGTTTTGCTAGAAGGTGGTCAGTCCAGGGACCTAGCCTAATGACTCTGGGAAGCTTATTTCAGATTGGGGCCCAGGGTGAACTGTGACCTAGGCAACTGGTTTAGAATATAGCCTGGGAATCCCTGGCTGTCCCAAGAAGAAGAGTGACAGCTCCCACGGGGTTGCACATCAGTCCCCCCCCCTTTGTCCTGCCCTGAATAGATGTGATAAGGGATATGAAATAGGGATTGGGAGATCCTGGGGGTCTGAGGAGCAGCTACCTCAGCCACATGGAAAGTAAGTATTAAGCTAATGTTACCAATCTAGCCAGGGTTCTTTTGCTCAGTTCGGGATAGAAATCACAAAGATGCAAACGTGTACCATCCACGAGGCTTCATTGGAGTTTCTGCTGGAGCATGAGGGAGACAGAATATAGAACCGAGCTCCCAGTTTGGCAGTCTCCTCCAAGAGGGGAAGATGAAAGCTTATATAGTCTGAGGGGCTCACTGTCCCACTCCTGGAGTGGAAAGAGATAGCATTTTGTGTTGCAAGCTTTGAAGGAAGCAGGGGGCAAAATTAGGACATCAGGGACCAGGGATTTAGCTCAGCAGGCATAAGCACCTGCTTGGCAAGCGCAAGGTCATGAGTTCGATCCCTGGTACCACCAAAAAAAAAAAAAAAGTTAGGATATCCTAGCTTACATAGCCTGCAAAACTCTGCTTCTCAGAGACATAAGTATCAGGCTTTTTTCTATGCCTTTTCACTAAGCACTGGCTATGTCAGTAAAACAATAGGAAAAGGGTACTCATGTAGGCACCCATTTAGGCAGCTATGCTAAGGTATGTGCAGGTAGGTAATCCAGTCTCTTGAAAGCCAGATAATGCCTGTCCAGTCTCGGCACAAGCTCAAGAATAAATATTAAAGCATGGCTCTAGTGTCTTAATACTTAGCTTGGCTCTCACCACCTTTGCGGAGGCTCCCATCTTTAGTTCTTGCCTTCCCAAACTGAGTGTGGGTGTCATTTCCATTCACAGGGTCACTGCACTGCTATGTGGTGGAGGAAGATGTGGACAGAGTAAATACAGCTTAGGGATATGGGCGTATCAGCACCTTTCAG